AAACAACACTCATTTTAATTTCCTTAATCTTTCAGGACATCATATAGACACAGTCCACATGGGGTTTAAGTAGTTCTGCAGTTAAAATAAGTATTAGGACACTTCAGAAGATAAAAGTTTTATGTATGATGGTAGACCACCAGCCTGTTCTTCCTGCACACCACCATCTAAACTGTATTTAGGGGCTACACTTCATTCATCACAAAGCACCTTGTGGAGAAAGGCTTTGGCCAAGCACCTGTAGGGACAGGACAAGGGGAGTGGCTTTAACCTGTCAGAGGGGAGACTGAGGTGAGCTCTTAGGCAGAAGCTCTTCCCTGTGAGGGTGCTGAGGTGCTGGCACAGGGTGCCCAGAGAAGCTGTGGCTGCCCCATCCCTGGCAGTGTTCAAGGCCAGGTTGGACACAGGGGCTTGGAGCAACCTGCTCTAGTGGAAGGTGTCCCTGCCCGTGGCAGGGGCTGGAGCTGGAGGAGCTTTAAAGTCCCTTCCAACCCAAACCAGTCTATGAACAAAATAAATTAACATCAATCACGCACAAAAGACCATGCACAGGAAGTACTCCTGCTCTCTACAAGTACCTCACAGAATACAAATTCTGGTAGCAACAGCAGTTGAGTATCATTTTAGCAATTGTCTCTGCCCTAAAACCTTGTATTCAAGCTGGCTTGCTCTTGCAACTCACTACTCCATTCCAAGGAGACACCATAAGGTATTCATTTGAATACAACACTCCAAGTCAATTTAAATAATAATTCCCAAGCCAGAACTTCAGTTTCAAGCCAAGCACCCCATAAGCAATGGGAACATTCACACCAATGTTGCAGGGACAAGAACTCGGCAGTGCCCAGAGCACTCCCACTGCAACCTCTGTAAGAGCATGAGGCACCCCAATGGTCCCCACCAGCAACATGGCTTGGGTGAAATACCTTCCTGTTAATGCAAAACCTGACTTCAGCTCCAAAGACTACAAAAGACAACTGATCCTTTGAAAAGATGAGAGTTCCTTCTGCTTTCATCAAATCCTGGAGGCAAGATGTGGCTTTTCCTCATCTGGAAAATGCCACAATGACATTTCAAATAACGCTCGTGTTGCTTCTGTATCTCGAAAACAAACTAAAGCACTGTATTAAGTGATGCTCCCACCTACTTAGCAAGCTGGTGCATTTACATGTGCCCCTGTACAGAGGTACTAGCTCAGGTTTCGAAAGCAGAGCAGGAACATCAGTGACGGCCTGAACAGGAGGTGAAGGACTGGGGTTCCTGCCAGCTCCAGAGCTCATCCACAGCCCCCCCTGCACCATGGTACCAGCACAGCCTCAGGAGCCTAAACCCCACTTCCCTCTAGTGATGCATGTTGTTCAGCCAGGAGAAGAGAAGGCTCCAGGGAGACCTTGGAAGACCTTCCAGTGCGTGAAAGGGCCAACAAGAAACCTAGAGAGGGACTCTGAACAAGGGGACAGGACAACGGGGAATGGCTTTAACCTGCCAGAGGGGAGACTGAGATGAGCTCTTAGCAGAAGCTCTTCCCTGTGAGGGTGCTGAGGTGCTGGCACAGGGTGCCAAGAGAAGCTGTGGCTGCCCCATCCCTGGCAGTGTTCAAGGCCAGGTTGGACACAGGGCTTGGAGCAACCTGCCCTAGTAGAAGGTGCCCCTGTCCATGGCAGGGGGTGGAACTGCAAGAGCTAGGTCCCTTCTGACACAAACCACTCCATGATATTATTCTGTGATTCCCTCAGTCCCACGAATGTATTTCACAGCACATTAAGCTGGTGCTCACCATTACTCCTAAACAGCATTTTGCCCTCTTATTTACCAGGTAAAACACAGTAATTCATGGCCTAATCTATATCCCTGACATCAAGCTTGACAAGTTACACACCCCCCAAAAACTGTGAGCAAGAAATACATTGGGAATTCCACACACATCCTCAGACCTCCCCTTTCCATTTTTAAACACAGGAGATTACCCAGTGTGGTTTTTATCTGCTCTGCTATTTTCTTTAATCACATACCTCAAAACCATCTCAACACCAACACACGTAATACTTTGCCATTTTCAGACACAGCATCCATTCCAATGACTGTACTTCCAATGTTATTTTGGCTTATTACTTCACCCACTGAGATGAATTTTCACTGATGTTCCATCAGCACTGGCTGGTCTTCCCCCATCTCTTCCCAACCCATTAGGAGTTTAAAGCAGCCAGTATACATAAATTGTAGTGATTTCCTTCCAACAAGTAAGAATTCATGTATTACAACCTGGAATCACCCAATACAATTGCAGACTGGTTTGGGTTGGAAGTGATCTTAAAGCCCCTCCAGTTCCAACCCCTGCCACAGGCAGGGACACCTCCCACTAGAGCAGCTTGCTCCAAGCCCCTGCGTCCAACCTGGCCCTGAACACTGCTAAGTTTTGTGTGACAAAAACTTACACTTGTTTTATTGCATTGGCCTTAAATCAGGAAACGGTTTGGGTGGGAAGGAACCTTAAAGCTCACCCACTTCCAACCCCTGCAAAGGGCAGGCACAGCTTCTCTGGGCACCCTGTGCCAGCGCCTCAGCACTCTCACAGGGAAGAACTTCTGCCTAAGAGTTCATCTCAGACTCCCCTCTGGCAGGTTAAAGCCATTCCCCTTGTCCTGTCCCTACAGGCCCTTGTCCAAAGCCCCTCTCCAGGTTTCCTGTAGCCCCTTTAGGCACTGGAGCTGCTCTAAGGTCTCCCTTTGAGGAGTCTTCTCTTCTCCAGGCTGAACCAGCCCAGCTCTCTCAGCCTGGCTCCAGAGCATAGCTGCTCCAGCCCTCACAGCATCTCCTCCGGCCTTGCTTCAGCAGCTCCACGTCGCTCCTGTGCTGTTGCCCCAGAGCTGGATCAGGACTGCAGGGGGTGGGTCTCCCCAGACCACAGCAGAGGGGCAGGATCCCCCCCTGAGCTGCTGCTCATGCCCTGGGGGTGCAGCCCAGCACATGGGCGGTTCTGAGCTGAAGGTCACAGTGAAGTCGGGTCATGGGGAGCTCCTCCTCACCCATCATCTCAAGTCCTTCTCTTCAGGGTGCTCCATCCAGTCTCCCCCAGCCTGTGTTTGTGCTGGGACTGCCCTGACCCATTGCAGGACCTTGGCCTTGGTCATGTTGAACTTCAGCACATAGATCAGTGGAAGGCTGTTTCTTTCTATCAAGGGCCGTTGAGATCCTCCTGCCAACACGAGCTCTGCTGTTTACTTGTCAGTGATCCGCTGAAGTTTCTGCTTTTCCCAAAATAATTTACTCATGACCAGGGCACAGTCCACCAGCTCTGACAACAAACCCTGGTTGTGCAACAATATTGTCCTCATGTGGCAAATGTCCACTGTGACATGAGGTGATTCAGTTTCACTTCACAGTTCCTTGTACAAACTCAAGTATCTACCCAAACCCCAAGTATACACTGAATATTCTCACTTGCTGTTCTCTAAGACTACTTAATTATAATGAGCTCAGGAGCTGAGGCCTTGACACCCCAACAATGACCTGGATATTCTACCCACTAGTTACAATAGTTCTTGGGAACTTCATTCCAACATTTACTTCCAGGTACTGCATAAAGCAGCACTTACAAACTCACTGCAATTCATTCCTGAAGAACAAAGTCAAAGCAGTGCGGTTTATTTCTGCAAGACACAATGTTCTTCAGCAGTGCTGCTACTTAAAGTGGAGGGGGAAAATGGGACCAGGGAGACCACAGACACTGGGTGAGAGCTGCCACCCTGAAAGCACTTACAGGTATTAACAACTATTACTTGTAACAGGTATTTTAGAGGGACTCCAGTGAGCTAAGAACAAAGCTGACAGAAGCAACAGGAAAAAAGAGAAGTAATGAAATTAGCTGCCTATTTTGTAAGAGGAAGCAGCGGGTACAGTGTAACACCACTGAAATCCAATATGCATTTATTCCTGGCACTGCACCCCTCAAACATAACACGCCTTTCTGCCAAGTTTGGCATCCTCAAGCCCCTTGTTATTTTTGTAAACTCCTCTGCTACTTCATATTCGAGCCTTCCCAAAACTCAGCCACGTGCAGCAGCCTCTGGTCATAATTAGGCTTTAGGGAAAGTATAGGGAAAGAAAAATAATCAGTATTTATATACACTAAAGCAGAGGTAAGTTTGTTTCAGCTTTCAGAGGGTCCTCCTCATGCCAAGTGCTGAAGAAACACAGAGAAATCTTGTCTGGCACACCCACAGAGCTTACTCCTTATGACCCAAAAAGAGGCAGATAACCACAACATATCTGGCTAGTAGATGGACAACCCAGAATCCAGATAATCAATTGTGCTGGTCATGTGTGTGACAAAAACTTATACTTGTTTTATCGCATTGGTCTTAAATCAGGAAATGGTTTGGGTGGGAAGGAACGTCAAAGCTCACTCAGTTCCAATCCCCTGCCACAGGCAGGGACACCTTCCACTAGAGCAGGTTGCTCCAAGCCTCGTCCAGCTTGGCCTTGAACACTGCCAGGGATGGGGCAGCCACAGCTTCTCTGGGCAACCTGTGCCAGTGCCTCAGCACCCTCACAGAGAAGGTTTTTATAGTGAAGATAACTATATGATTCTGAATTATTTATAGGCACTGCCTTCAGCGTCAAACTTAGCAGTCAGCTATGAAAGAGGAAGAAGATTCATCAAGCAGAGCAAGGGCAGAACAAATTCCAAAACATACCCAATGGCTCTTTCACCATGGTCCATCAAACGTGAGAAGGCACCTCACTGAAATGAGATGAGGAGGTCCCCTTCAGAATCTCTGCCCAGCAAGTTGGGCCTTCTGCAATAGGATCTGTCTCACTGAACGTGTAGATATTTATACTATGGATGACTAATGTGAATTAGTCACCCACACTCCCTTTGCAGGAGCAGGGAAACAAGCACTTCTACAGCAAAACTCAGCTCTATTTTAGACTTGTGCATCAAAAGGAAATAAGCATCTCTGTCTCTCCATTGACTAAAAAGGAATCCTAGATGTTACCTCAGAAGTAGGCATTTACATCACAGATGTGTGAACTTCGGTCAGAGGTCTCCAGCCCCTTGAAAGCAAAGGTAGAATCTGAAACACAATGTTGGGGGAGGGGGGAAAGGCTTAGAAAGTCATAGAAGAAATCAAAAATGTGAATTTAGACTATACCACGGACAGTGTAATGTTAACAAATAATATATAAAGGGCTGGGAGAATGGAGAAGCATGAAAACCAACTGAGCAATAGCAAAAGCAATCTTCTATATTAGAAAAGGCTAACATGCAACAGAACCCAGTTGAAATCCGTCATTTGTGTATTCTAATTGTGAAATAGCGCTGATTGAGCATCTGTTGAGCATTAATCAGGTACTCTGGCTCAGGAGCTGAAGTCCTGGGGCTTGGATGATGACCTGGATATTCTATGTACTAGGCTTAGTTTGAGTTAATCCAACACGGAATCAGGGGGTTTTTGTCAACATCAGCACTGCTGCAGCCCCACCATTCCCAAGCCCTTTGTATTTAAACTGTCCGGCAAATGTTCAGTAAAATTAACCAGTAGGAAAAGGGCAGGGAAGGGAGGAAGCCTGGTGACAGCCTGGCTCCCTGTAAGGATAGGACCAGCACTAACACCGAGGGACAGACCAGGAACATGCTGCACCAAAGCAAACTCTGATGAACTAAATCACACCACACCCTATTTAAATGCAGAGGGTGAGAGATGGGCTCCTACTCCTCCTCTCCTCCCTGGGTCCTCCCTTGTGTCAGCACAGTTTATGCAACTACACATCGAGCTGGTTGAGGGAGCTGATCCAGCTGAAAACGCCTCCTGCATGCAGGGCTCTCTGGGGTCCTGTGCCAACGCCAACACATGGCAACCTGGACTCTCACCCACTGTGGAGCTGCACCCTTAGTCCGTGGGCTCAGGGAAAGGAAATACACATTTCAGCCTGTTAGTTTATAGTCTCAGTTATCCTTCTTACAGAAAGGATAAATCCATTTCACCATCTTAACACAAAAGAATGATATCAAAAGGCAGAGCAGAGGATCCTCTGAAGGAAGAAAATGAAGTCAACAGCTATAGAAACACAACTTCTTTCATCCCACCCCTCTGCACATCAAAGTAAGGAGCTGAAACAATCTGTACGTTTTGTAAGATGATAGGGAATGAAAAGAAAGGAAGGAATCGCTACACAGCAGAGAATCCAAGTTGCTGGTTACAAAATATCAAACTATATCCATCATGCACTTTCTCAGCCAACAAAATTAAGTCTACCATAGAAAAATCAAAGACAAAACTGAAACTGAACTATCTTGTACTCTATTTCCTTCTTCCTTCCTGTAGGTTGCAGCAAGAATGACCATCTCTACTCCTGCAGGCTCTGCATTTATCTGTCTCTCCCAGTAGGCTGTGCAGCCTCTGCTCTGCTGCTACTGCTCCTAATTCTGCCAAACTAAATCAGAATCACAGTGACTTCACAGTTGTGAGTGTCACCGCAGGCCACAGCACTCCCACAGGAGCAAAGTGCAGACTGGGCACACAGGGAAGGAGAGCAGGGCCAGCTGAGCACAAACCCTCAATCAAGGAATGTATATGTTTGGAGCTTTCTCTGCCAACCCTGCAGCTCACCTTCTGCGCCACCTCCTGAAACAAAAGGTGGTCAAAGTTTCCTGGTGTGCCCAGGCAGGGACACAGCTCTCAGCTCTGCCCATCTCAAATCACTTGGTGAACTTTGCCACTGAACCATAATGTTGTTTTCTCATGCCTTCTGTTTCCCCTCCTGTCCAGATAAGATTGTCCTGAAGCACATGGCACTGAAGGAACTGGGTACTTGCAATGCTGGGACATCCAGAGGCACCACTGCAGGGTGCCACACGCTGACCCAGAGCACTGGGGACTGCTGCACAGACCAGCACCACAGGTAGACACAGAGAAACCAAGAGGCACACGAGCAGCAGCTGCAGCGCTTCCATGCTCAGGGTAATGATTTCAACTTCCTCCTTCTGACATGACATTCTCCCTGTTTTGCTGACACCCCCCTTCCAAAGTTCAGTGCCAAACAGAGTTGGGTTTGAAGTGACCCTGCCAAAGATGACTACCTGAGCTGGACTTTAGGCATCGCTCCGTTTAGCATTATCACTACTCACAGCGTCTCAGCTTTATCGAGGCCTAAATGGCATTAATAAGCAGAGAAAGAGAATGTCACTGTTAATTCAGGCAGGGATGTCAAACTGACTTGATGCAAACACCATCTATGTGATGTGTGTGGCATTCAAATTCCACCAAAACCTGAGCTTTTCAGGCTGAGATTTTTAACCTTGGCTACAAAAGCTTTGCTTCTCCAGATAACTAAGATTTATCTGCCCGAGTGTCCCCTCATAACAGAGCTAACACACAGGTGAAAATAACCCAGGCATGTAATAATAATGTCAATATTGGTTATTGCACTGCTGACTACTTTGGCAGATCAAAACAAGGAGCAGAGGAGTAGACATAGGGGGAGGAGGCTGGTGGGAGGGATACAGCCACAGACAGGGAGGGAGAAAAGCGCAATTAAAGAAACAAGCGCCCTATAAAAGACAACATACTTTTGCTTCTAATAATATTGAATCAAAGAAGACACTTAAGTGCCTTTGTTGCTACTACTGGTCACACAGAGGCCACTTTTTTGCCCTGATCCTTCTTTAAACCCACTGACGTGTAGGTTTTTGGTGAGAAGGAGAGGACAGTCAAAGTGATTCCCCAGCCTGTAGAGCCTAATGAAGAACAGAGCTGTGGTACCCTATAAATAGGGCCAGGAGTAAGAGACTGCTGCTCTGAGCTGTGCTTTTTGTCTCTGCTCACATGGAGAGCTGACATCACTCATGAATACAGTCTCTTAACTCTGCTCTTCTCAATCAGCTTCTCAATCATTTGCATCTAACAAAACACAGCCTCCCACAAGTATTCCTCCCTATCAAGTCATCAGAAGTTGTGTCAAGCTCCTGCTCTCAACTCACTGACCTCATCTGCTTCTCCTGCACCATTTACACCCAAGTTTCCCTGTTATTCTTGTCATTCTGCTATTGTTAAAGAAACATTTACCCTAATGAGATACTCTTCTATTTCTTGGCGTTCCAGTTGGCCCATTTTTATGGCTAAGCTGATTACAGTGTTCCAGCTATTGCTTCAGGCACTAACGCTTCAGACTCCAAGCCACTGTGTTAAGGAAACACAGTGCTTGATGATGTATGTGAAGTCATTTTCCTTAACATATAATCCACAGCGTTTACACTTGCACTTCTGCACACCTCATTATCAGAGATACAGAGTAAGAAAGCTCATGACCCTGCTCCCCTGCCCCAAGCTCTGCTCAAACACACCTTCCTGCTGGGAACTTCTCCTGTCTGATGTCCTCCTGCATCTCAGGGAGGAAAACACTTGGTTCCCCTTTGCCACCTAGCTAACGGGCAACAAAACTGAGGGCAGAGCACGAATGAAGTGCTCCTATCACCAAGCATGGAAAGCACAATGAGCCATGCTGGGGCTATCCCCATGCCAAAGAGGAGGAGAAGCATAACTAAAGGATTCCTCCTTCTAGCTCAGGATCACACTATGTGGGGACAGTGAGAATGTAATTCCCTCTGGCTGACAGCCAGTCCAACCAGCAAATAAATGGTGAGTTGAGGTGGGGGAGCCCGACCAGCACCCCTCTGAAGATGGGGGCCTGAGAGGGCTCCTGCCTTCCCCACTGCAGAACAGGCAACACCGCTCCTGACAGTGGCCAGCAGCTTCCTAAAAGTGACTGAAGCCCATGGACTCAGGATGCTTCCTCCTAGGAAATAAACCACCCAAACATGAGCTCTTAAAGATAGTTTTCTCCTTGTTATTCATTTTGACAGTCTCCAATTTCTGAGCTATGAACTTACAAATGCAGCCTGTCCCTCCTCCAACACCAGCCTGGGAAGCAGGATTCTTCCCTGCCATTCTCAGAACAAACAGCCAGTACCCAGGCTGAGGTTTGCAGGAACCTCCCAAAGCCTCAGTGCTGCTTTCTGCACCACCTGTGTGACACTAGCCTGCTACAGAGCAAGCTCTTCCCAGAAAGCTGCTGCAATGCCATGTATTTTCCTTGATTTCTAGACAGGATCTTGTCCAGGACCCTGGACTGGCAACGTAGTACAAAGCAAGCACAAAAATCACCAGAAATATCTGCATATCAAAGACACAAAACCCAAAACCTTCCGTTTCAAACCATTTTGGTCTTATCCAGCCTTCAGTCACCTCCTCCTGAGCAAACATCAATTGGTATCACTCAAACCAGTCCAAATGTTATGTGTTCCTATGGTATGTTCCAAAATGCAACTTTGCTTACCATGATATCACCACTGGTTGCTATGGCAATTGCTATACTACCATCCAACAGAGTTTTTTTGCCACTGAGGTATTTTGGCAGCCTGTTTGCTTTCAAGTGTCAGAGCAATAAGAGAAATCATCAAGGGTGACTCTCCCATTAGCCTTCAAACAGTGCTTTAGAACAAAAACCTGCTATTAAATGATCCCATGCTTGGCTCCAAACATACAGCTCTGCACAGGATTGGAATCACAACTATCTCCTTCGGTTTTTGAGGGAGGAAGTAAAGTACATTATGAAAACAAGCTTTGGGTTTTAAAATATTAATGTTTAAGTGGGAGATCAAGTGATGAAAACACCCCAGGTCCCCCCAAGCTCCCTCAGTTTCTCTGTCTCACTTCCTAGTTGTTTTGGTTGTTTAACTAAAGCAAACAAGGCCTTCACATTAGGGAGGGAGCCCTCATCAACCTCATCTTGTCACTTTTCTGCAACATTCCGTGTTGGGGCCATTCCATTCCTGGTTCCACTCCTTCCCCAGTATCTGGACGTTAACAGCACCACCACAGTGACATTTACTTTCACAGACAGCACACGGAAGCCCCCGGGGTCCCTCACTTGGGGCTCAGACCCTGCTCACCCCAAAGCAGTGGGTGCCAGCGGCCTGACCCCCACCTCCAGCCCTGCTACCACCACCTCTCCCCACCGGCCTCAGCCCCTGACGGTGGGTTCGGTGGGTGTCACAGCAACCGGATCCCGGCGGCCCCGCCAGGTCAACACCCCGGAATATAAAATGGAAACATGACTCTGAGAGGCGCCAATTTAACCCAGCCATGGTGCGAAATGACAAGGGGGGACTTGAGCACGGCCGAGGGCAACGGCTCAACCAGGGTGCTCCGGGATGAGGGTGCAGGAGGGCGGCGCAGCCAGCACCGCCGCGGCCTCGGGCTGCTTAAAACCCCCTGAAGCCACTGCAAACTAACCCGGGGGCAGCACTGCGGGCCGGTGACCGCTGCAACCGGCGGCCCGGGCCGCGCCGCTGCAGCCGAGAAGGCCGGAGCAGCGGCGGCAGGGGCCGGAGGGGCAGCAGGCCGCACACCGCCTCCGCGGCCCGCCGGGCCCAGCGCCCCGGCCGCGGCGCAGGGAGGCGGAAGCGGCACTCGGCGGGGTGCAGCTTCGCGGCCACGGCAGGCCCCGGACTCGGCGCGGCGGCAGGTGTCGGCGGGAGGGGCGGGCGGCGCTGACAGCGGGCCCGTCCGCGGGTCTCACCTGCTAGGGGTCCGGGCCTGCCCTCCACCCCGCGGCGAGGCCGCTGCGGCGCTGCCTGGCTGCGAGGGCCGGCGGCCCGGGGTGCATGGGCCGCGTCCGAGGCGGGCGCCGCGGCCGGGGCTGCGCTGACAGCGGGCGGCGAGCGGCAGGCGGGCGCTACGGCTATCTCCAAAATGGCGGCGGCCCCGCTGCTGCCCAGCGCCGCGCGGGCGGGGGGGAGGGCGGGGCTGGATGGGGGCGGGGTCAGACGGGTCCGGGGGCGGGGCCAGGCGAGGGGGCGGGACCGCTCCGGTCTAAAGGAGGGGCTATGGCTGGAAGAGCTGGGGACAGCGCAGCCTGGGATCCATGGATTAGTGGAGCGACGGAATCCCGGAATCAACCAGGTTGGAAAAGCCCTTTAAGCTCATCCAGTCCAACCATTCCCCAGCACTGCCAAAGCCACCACTAACCCATGGCACTGAGGCCTCGGCTACACGGTGTGTGAACACTTGCAGGGATAGTGACTCCAGCACTGCCCTGGGCAGCCTGTTCCAGTGCCTGAGCACCCTTTGGGGAAGGAATTGTTCCTCATCTTCATCTAAACCTGCCCTGGTGCAGCTTGAGGCCGTTTCCTCTTGTCCCATCCCTTGTTCCCTGGGAGCAGAGCCCAGCCCCTCCTGGCTCCATCCTCCTGTCAGGCAGTTGTAGGGAGCGATATGGTCCCCCCTGAGCCTTCTCTTCTCCAGGCTGAACTCCCCAGATCCCTCAGCCATTCCCCATCACACTTGTGCTCCAGGCCCTGCACCAGCTCTGTTGCCCTTCTCTGGCCCTGCTCCACCACCTCAATGTCTCTCTTGCAGTGAGGGGCCCAGAACTGAACACAGGATTCGAGGTGCAGCCTCACCAGTGCCCAGTGCAGGGGCACAATCACTGCCCTGGCCCTGCTGATACAGGCCAGGATGCTCTTGGCCTTCTTGGCTGCCTGGGTACAAGCTGCTCCTGTTCAGCTCCATCAGTCAGGACCTCCAGCTCCTTTCCCATGAGCAGTTTCCAGCCACAATTCCCCAAGCCTGGAGGGTTGCAGGGGGTTGGTGTGGCCCAAGTGCAAGACCCGGCACTTTGCCTTCTTGAACCTCAACCCATCGAGACAGCTTGGGATCTAGTCTAGATCCAGTCTAGGTCCCAGGAGGGATGGGTAGAGCTGAGATGGGGCTGGGAGAAGGAATAGGGGAACCCATCCACTGTGGTGGAGAAAAGGGGGATAAATGGGGGAAAAGGGGGAAAAGGGATGACCAAAACAGCAGCAGAAGACAGCACTGAGGGGAAAACTACCTCTTGGTTACACTGCTTGCTGGGTGAAGCAGATTTCAGTGTCACCGTGCCTGGATTTGCCTTCCTATATGAATAAACAACTTCCAAAGTGCCAGTGTTACAGTGGAACACAACAGGAACTGCCTCAATTTGCATCCTAGTTCCAAACTGAATTCCTGCTGGGAGATTTACCACCTCTCATCCTCTTTGCCAGTCTTATTTAGGCCTTGACCCTGCAAATGTTAATCAACATTGTTAAAGTTTAACACATCCATATCTGCCCCAGGACCTGCGGACAGACCTGCTGTGGAAGAGCCATGGTGTGCCAGTGGATGGGATGGAAACCTGAGAAACCATGGGGAAAACATGTCCTAGCAGGGCATGAGGACAAACAAACAGGTTTAAAGTGCCCTGTTTGCACCACAGTGTTGGGGGCTTTGCTACAAAAATGCCACCAACTAAATGGGCAAAATTACCTGGTTTTGCAGCAGAAGGGCTTGAAGACAACGGCTCCAAGAGTTTATACAGATCCAGTGTGGTAATTAACATGGCGTTGGCCATTAATAAGGAAAAAAATGGCACAACTTCATAAGTTTCATTTCTCTATTTTGTCTATTGGAGGGTAATGAGCTAATAAAGCATTTTCTGCGGCTTGTTGTGGCTTCTGGGGACACTACAATGGCAAATTCCCAAGTCTTTCAGCCATCCCCAGAGCATATCCACCTCCCATGTCACACGGGATGGCCAAAGCTGTGGACACTGCCACCTCCAGCTGATTGGGATGAGCGTTACTGAGCACCCTCAGCAAGTTTGTCACAAGCTGTGTGGTGCAGTTGACACATTGGAGGGAAGGGATGGGATCCAGAGTGAGCTGGACAGGCTGGAGAGGTGGGACTGTGTGAACCTCATAGAGCTCAACAAGGCCAACGGCAAGGTCCTGCACATGGGCTGGGGCAATCCCCAGCTCAAATACAGGCTGGGGGGGACTGGATGGAGCAGCCTGAGGAGAAGGAGTTGGGGATCCTGCCAAGGGGGAGATCTAGATGAGCTCTTAGGCAGAAGTTCTTTCCTGTGAGGATGCTGAGGTGCTGCCACAGGGTGCCCAGAGAAGCTGTGGCTGCCCCATCCCTGGCAGTGTTCAAGGCCAGGCTGGACGAGGCTTGGAGCAACCTGCCCTAGTGGAAGATGTCCCTGCCCATGGCAGGGGTTGGAACTGGATGAGCTTTAAGGTCCTTTCCACCCAAACCAGTTAATGATTCTACGATTTCTAGGATACCAATCTTGGAACAATTTCCTCCTCCTCCAGCCCTGTGAAACACACTAAAGTGCAGCTGAACTCTGGGCTTGGCAGCAGACACAGGCTGGGGTTGCCAGCTCAGCTCTCCCAGCCAGGACACAGGCAGGTACAAGAACAGGGAGAGTTCCTTAAGTAGGGAAATATCCCGCGGGTCCAAGTCCCTGTTGTTTTACAAGGTCAGCTACATTCTACTGCGAGCAAACCATCCTCTATGGCTGCTCGTGCTGACATGCAGATGCTGAGTACAGGTATGACCTCTTTCTTGTTCAAACAGATACAAAACTCAGCATTTGCCTCATTGTGCACCTAGGAAAATACAGTAATTTTAGGTTTAACATCATTTGCTGATGTTCAAATCCACACAGGATGTAAGTAATGAGAAATCTTATCATGCTATTGTCCTGTCTTGAACTGGAAGACGCTGATCGTTCAGTGTCCTTCCTCCAAGTGTCAGCATTTCCAGAACAATTGTTTATTGCAATCCATGCTGTCTATATTCAGTTTCCTTTAAAGCATGCATCTGGAATGATCTTATGATTATTTAGTTTCTAATACAGAAAAAAAAGTGGCGTTCCTTTTCTAATTCAGATCATGACTGCCCCTTTCACAGTTTTGTAGTGAAGTTCCTAAGGAGTTTTGCCATTTTGTACTAAACAGGTTACAAAAACATGAATTTACTTTGAAATCTTCATACCTGGAAGTTAAAATCAGATTTCTGTTCCCGTGGTGGTTTCTGTCACTTGGTTTCTTACACATCATCACGCAGGATGGACAGAAAGAAGGAGCAAGGTACAAACGTGCCAGTGCTGCTTAAATTAACAGGAACTCAAGAGCCTGGACAGAGCCACTGTCCTGGCTGGTGGCCTCAGCTCCCCCTGCCTTGGAGAGAGATGAAGCAGCCAAGTCTCATGCCATGGTGCTGTGTCAAAGATGTCTTGTGAAACCCTCTGCCCTGCTCTTGTGAGACCCCTCTTACAGCACTGTGTGCAGTTCTGGCGTCCTCAGCAACAGAAGGACATGGAGCTGTTGGAGCAAGTACACAGGAGGCCATGAGGATGATCAGGGGCTGGAGCACCTCCTGTATGAAGACAGGATGAGAAAGTTGGGGCTGTTCAGCCTGAAGAAGAAAAGCTGCGTGGAGACCTCATAGCAGCTTCCAGTGTCTGAAGGCGGCTACAAGGCCACTGGAGAAGGACTCTTCATCAGGGACTGTAGTGGTAGGATGTAAATGGCTTTAACCTGCCAGAGGGGAGACTGAGATGAGCACTTAGGCAGAAGGTCTTCCCTGGGAGGGTGTTGAAGCGCTGGTACAGAGAAGCTGTGACTGCCCCATCCCTGGCAGTGGTCAAGGCCAGGCTGGACGCAGGGGCTTGGAGCAACCTGCTCTAGTAGGTGTCCCTGCCCATGGCAGGAGGTTGGAGCTGAATGAGCTTTAAGCTCCCTCCCAACCCAAACCATTTTATGGTTCTGTGATTCTATGCTCTATAAGATATATACTTACATGATTGTATGCTCTATAAGAGCAGCTGAGCCACGAGCTCTCCGGGATCACAAAATTGTCATTGTGCCAGATTATCTGTCATTCAGCACATTGTCCATGTTAACAACAATGCATATGGACAATTTTAGAACTAATCCACATTGTTTAAGCATGCAACATGCAAAGCTCACTCTTGCAGGTGACCAAACAGGCACTTGAAGGGCATGGGAAGAGTTCACCCCCTTGCTCCACAGCCTGCCGCTGACTGTATTACCTGTACCACTGCTGAACTGTACCCAAAGCCACAGCCTCCACCCAACACCACATCCAGTCCAGAGCAGTCATCACTGCTTTCCTAGGGCCTCCCCAAGCATCAGCACATGTAACTGCATCTTCACCCTGCAAGTAAACCTTCACTTTGGGATTACATGGCTGGTGAGCACTGTCTTGCTTGGTTTCTGCATGCGGAAGATGTATTTCACAACCCAAACTGTCGTTAACACACAGCTCTGAGCTTGAAAAGCTGCCACTCTTTAACTCAAAGAACTGATTTACACATCAAGCAGTCAGGACATATTAAATCACATTTTGTTGTGTGACTTGCTGGACTACCAGCTACGAGAGAGTTTGTTCGCTCCTCTGAAGCGCTGAACCCTGTTCTAAGACAGTTTGGAGTCTGAACTTGAAGTTCAGTGAACAAGCACAAAGAGCAGAGCTTTTGTCAGAAATCCAGAGATCACTGCAGCAAAGACTTGGGCTACTTGTGTCTTCAGACCTCAGCCAAGGAGCATTCTGGGCTCCAGGCCCTGCGCGCAGCTTTCCAGTTCTGGAAGCAGAGGCATGAGCCTGAGCCTTACCCAGATTCACACCTAGAGAAGGAGTAGGCAGACATTTTGCTCAGAGGTTACACGACCAGAAAGACGACGTTGACCAGGAACCTGGTCTCTATTCTTGGCTTTGAAATGAAGTGCCTAGGACACACCTTAGATCAGGATCACCAAGGGATGGTTTGGACATTAACTCTGAGAAACACTGAAGGGAGGAGGGGAAGAGTCTTCTTCCGTTCTACTGGAGTCACAGGCTCTTTCCTAAATAGAATTTGCATGTTAGCTTTTCCAAACACCAAGAATTGGATTTGGCTGCCTTTTGGGGCAAGTTATAAGGCCTCTTTCAAATAACAAAGCTCTGAAGCACACAGAATATAAACAGCAATCAGCAGTGAGGCTGGTGAGAGACCACTTCTTGGCTTCCAGCATATTGCACGTTCCTCTGTCTGAGGGGTATTTATGTTTCTCCTCTTGTCTGGAGAATATTATCTCAACTGGCAATGCAAGAGAAAAGGCAGCCAAACTGAAGCTGAATGCAAAATATCCTGCAAAATCTGGTAGGCTGGTTGCTCTTGAGAGCTCTGATGCAGAAGATAATTATAGATGAAAGTGGAGCAAGCGCTGTGGTTAAGGGTTGCGAAATGTTCTATTTACTCAGGTTGCTTAGGAGCAGTGCAAACCTGACATGCTGGCCCTGTGCAGTGCAGTCCCTCTGCAGCACAGTATCTCCAGCCAGGCCAGAGCTTGCAGAGGAGTGATACACAGCCTTCTGCAGGACCTTAATTGCCCAAATATGGTCCAGGAGCATATAGGGGCTTAAAAGGCTGGAAACCATGGGCCTGTGATGAGCTGTTTGGAGAGAGCGAAGGTGCAGCCCAGCCGTACATGAGCAGATTAAGTTCTCTCAGAGAACCAGCCACTTTGCAGTTTCTCTCTGGAGGAGCACAGGACCAGCTCCTTCCCCACCTTCACAAAGGGTCACAGAATCAGGTGCCCATCAGGGCTTCCAGTGTTCCCTGGTCTTGTTTCAAGGCAAAGCAGAGGAAATGAATTATAAAAGCTCTTGTGTTTAGCCAACACGAAAGCAAAAATACTCTGGGGCATGTCCTTAGCTTCTCTGCATTGTCAGGAGGTATCAAAGTCAAGATCAAATGCAGGGCCTTCCCTCACATATCCTGTGGCTGTTACGACAGAGCAGCTACACGCGCTCAGAAGTTGTTTGCCAAGAGCAGCATGGTGCAGCACAGCACTGCTGTGGCTCTGCTCATGACGTGGTGAAGCCACCAAGTATTGTACTAATCACCACAAATTGTACTAACCACCACACATTGTACTAACCACCACACATTGTACTAACCACTACCAACCTGCCTTTTTATACCTCCTTTTGCACTTTTTGATGGTCTTGACACGCTGTTTCTTCACACGTAAGCCATCTAATCTCCTTGTCCGGATTGTATCACAGCTTGCTAAATGTAGCCCGTCACCAGGGTGCAGAGGTGCTGCACTAACACAAATAATTGTAGTAGCAACTCTCAAGCGATATTGCTTTTTATTTATTATAGGCTCTCTTAGCTGAAGAATTTTTCACAGAATCCCAGACTGGTTTGTGTTGGAAGGGACCTTAAAGCTCCTCCACTCCCAACCCCGGCCACAGGCAGGGACACCTTCCACCAGGGCAGGTTGCTCCAAGCCCCTGTGTCCAACCTGGCCTTGAACACTGCCAGGGATGGGGCAGCCACAGCTTCTCTGGGCACCCTGTGCCAGCGCCTCAGCACCCTCACAGGGAAGAGCTTCTGCTTAAGAGCTCATCTCAGTCTCCCCTCTGGCAGGTTAAAACCATTCTCCTTGGCCTGTCCCTATAGGCCCTTGTCCAAAGCCTCTCTCGCGGTTTCTTGTAGGACCCCTTTACGTACTTAGTTATTACTTACATAATAAGTCAGATTCTCCTCTAAAATCACGTAAATCTGATTTGGTTTTGACAGAACTGCCCCCAGCTGGGTTCCTGAAGGAAACACATAGAAACATGCCCATCTTATGCCATAAAATTAGATAACAGAAATTTTTTAGCCCAGGAATGAGGCTTTATGGCCAAGCTCCCATGGCTAAGGGTCGGATTGAGGTTACTGCTTGAGTGAGTGAAAACCTCCTTCTCCATCCCAACAACTCAGCAACAAACTTCTCTAGGAGGCACAGGGCACAAGTGGGATACTCAGTCATTGTACATGTGTGTCTGAGCTGCTGCTGCTGCAGACTCCTTCTTACACTTTCTCTTTATAGTGGCCCTACTGCTGATTTGCTCCATGACTGAAACAGGCTCACCAGTAGCCTAGCAAAAAATGAGGGGAGAAAAAAAGCTAATGGGTTTTAGCCTGTGCCTCACGAAACTGCCACGAAGTGTTACTTATCAAGCGATATTTTAGCATTTCCTTGGTGTCACTGTCCTCCCACCCTGACCACTGAATGAAGGTGAGAGGGAAGTGGCTTGTGCCATGGAGTTCACATGCTTAAAAACTAGAATCATGGAATCAACCAGGTTGTAAAAGCCCTTTAAGCTCATCCAGTCCAACCGTTCCCAGCACTGCCAAGGCCACCACTAACCCATGGCACTGAGGCCTCAGCTACACAGTGTGTGAACATTTGCAGGGACAGTGACTCCAGCACTGCCCTGGGCAGCCTGTTCCAGTGCCTGAGCACCCTTTGGGGAAGGAATTGTTCCTCATCTCCATCTAAACCTGCCCTGGTGCAGCTTGAGGCCGTTTCCTCTTGTCCCATCCCTTGTCCCCTGGGAGCAGAGCCCAGCGCCCTCCTGGCTCCATCCTCCTGTCAGGCAGTTGTAGGGAGCGATGAGGTCCCCCCTGTGAACATTAGGGTCCTGCTTTACCCTCTCCCCATCTCCTTTGCTCACACCCACCCCTGCTCTGTTGGTGGCCCCGCACCATTCCCCGCCTACAGGAGCCCAAGCCCGGGCCCAGTGGAGGGCACCGGACCGGGGCAGGAGACACCGGCCTGGGGTGACCGAGCCGCGGGTGGTCCGTGACGGGGAGCCCGAGCTGCAGTCAGGCGCTGGGGGCGGAAGGGTGAGGCTCTGGAGAGCGGCAGCCGCGGCAGGAAGCAGAACCGGTCAGGGTGAGCTGGGTTTAGCGGCGGCCGTACCGGGCCCACCCGGCCCCGCAAACCACTGCCACAGCCGCGCCCGCCCTGACGCCCGCCCCGACGCCCGCCCCGACGCCCGCCCCAGAGCCACTCTGCGCGCCCGGAGCCGTCTCGGTGGTGGTGGCGGCAGGCACGGGACCTCCGGGCCGCCGGGCGGCGCGGCGCGGCGGGGCGGGGCCGGGCCGGGCCGGGCGGAGCGGCCGCTGCCATGGACGCGCTGTGCCGGGCCGAGTCCCGGCCGCGCCGGCCCGCGGCCGCCTCCCCGCTGCCCTGGGCCCGCTTCTCCGCCTGGCTCGACTGTGTCTGCGTGGTCACCTTCGACCTGGAGCTGGGCCAGGCCATGGAGGTGCGGGCAGGGCCGGGGGGGCATGGGGCGGACCTGGGCCCGGGCGGGCCTTGGGGCGTGGGGTGGGCGTTGGTCCCAGAGCTGTGGGGAAGCCCCTGTCAGGCTGTGGGGGAGAAGGGTCGCGGTGCGGGGCAGCGAAGAGGCAGGGGACGGTGGGTGCAGAGCAGAGATGTGGGGGCTCATCCCACCCCACGGTGGCAGCGCCGGGGTGGCAGAGCCGGGCCAGAGAAGCGCCCTGCGGATGGGAAGACGGAGTGTGCAGGGCCCAGGATGCGAGGTGTGTGTACGGGACAAACGGCGGCAGTGGTGTGACTTAGGTGGCCAGAGGGCTGCCGAAGAGGGGGCAGGCTGTGAAGGGAGAAGGAGGGTGGTGGGAGAAGGCTGTGGAGGAAGAGCTGAAGGCAGGAAGATGGGGTGTGGAGCAGGGGTTCAGGATGAATCTCGCTTACAAACACAGGTCTGATGTGTGGGATCAGCGGGGGATAAGGAGGAGCTGAGGGGGATGTCGCAGGAGCTGGGTGGGAATAGGGGGGGCGGTGGGGAGATAATGAGGTGCTTGAGCAGCTCTGTCAGAAGTGTCACAGGACCTGCGTTGTCAGGGGCTTCCCAGGTCTGATACATCACTGAGGGGCCAGAGAGGATGAACTGGGAGGGAAAGGGCTGGAACAGCTTTGCCCTATCCCTGGAAGTTGCCTCCGAAAGAGGATTCAAAGGGAGGTAGATACCCACGGCTTGTATCGTGGCTGAAGGCAAGAACAGGTTGGTGTTATAGACAATGCAATGTAAGGGGGGCAGATATGTCTGGGCTATTTTCAACCCAAGGGCTTATCTCCAGTTCCTCATCTGTTGTGTAGCTGTGGGAAATGCTCCTCACTTCCCCCTTGTGTAAGGAGGTTAACAAGGTTTTTCAGAGATCTGAGGCATTTTAAAGTCATGCTGAAGCTTCTGAAGGGAGTGGAAAGTGGCAGAGATGAAGCCAGCCCATTGCTGCTCTGTTTCCTTAAACACTTCACTATGTTTCTTTCCATGAAACCTGAAATAAATAAAACCAATGTGCTGTAGAACTGAGTTTCACATGCTCTGGACTCTCTCCTAGACCTGGTACATGTTGGGAAGGATATGGATAAGGGATAATAATTAGTATTTACAACTTAATGACTCATAAGTGTGTCTTAATGGAGCTACAGAGGTGCTTTCCTACCAGTTTTATTGCCTGTGTAGCATTCTAAGGAGGGGACTTTGTAATTGAAGTACAATCAACTGAGTAATGTGGGTTCTTAATCCCTGGAAAGGTCTTTTTATTCCTTTGCTTTTCTTCTTCCCTTTTCCTCCTTTGCCTACATAAGTAATGATGGGAAGATGTTTCTTGTGGTATAAATGAGCAAGACAACTGGGAACACCTCAGTACTTGGCCTGAGTGAGGACACAGCCCCTCTGTTCCTTTTCCTTTGGGTGTCCATGTGTATTTCTGTCTCTGAACAAAGGGTTTGGGCAGGGAACAGGGGTCTGCATTGGGTGAGACACCCAGAAAGGAGGAGGCTGAGGAGAATTTGTGTGATAAAGATCCATGTTCCATTCTTTGGTCTTGGGAAAATAAGAAATCTCAAGCTGTTGCTGTCTTTTAGGGGAATTTCAGGTAAAAGCATTTAAAACAATGAAAATTTCACAGTAGTGGAATAGCCAGTAGTCAAATGGGGTCATTATCTTCCTGCTTATCTCCATTTGGTGCCTCAGTTGGTCTAGATTGGGTCCAGATTTAGTTGGTCCAGGATCAGCTTGTCTCCAAGCAGGCTGCTTTCTGCAGCCAGGAAGAGGGAGTTTCATGTTTGGGCCCTCAACTGCATGTTTCTGGGTTTAAAACACATCTGTGGGACTTCCTCAGGCCTGGCTGAGTGTGTGGGAAGTTTGGAACGCCTATGGCAGTGTGCCATAGACATGACCAGGTTGGTGTAGCTGGCTGGGATTAGATCTTGCCAGAGCTCTCTGTGGTTTTGTGGGTGTACAAACCTCTGCAGAGTGATTTACATGCAGGAGCTGATCACACACCCAAGGATTGCACCGAGTGACAGGCTACAAATACCTGGAGTAACTTGTACTACCTCATGCTCGCAGCAAAGTGAGTCAGCAGGAAGGGAAACCTCTGCTCTGGAGGCTGCACCATCCTCGTGCATCATGTCTGTAAACCAGTGTGTGTGAAGGTGCAGACATCCCAAGTGCAGCCTGACCTTAGGATGTCCCCTGCAGGCCTGTCCCTGTCAGGGTTTCTGTGCTGAGACCTTCCCATCCCTTCCTGAAGATAACTTTTTCTCAGGTATAGGACTCTTTCCAGGGAAAATATCTTGTTTTCTATCCTGGAATGGGGTAGGCTCTGTGGATACAACCAAGGCCTTGCTTAGGCTCTGCTCAGGTTTCCAGGCATTGCATGATTTGTGTTCTGTGCAGTCATCTTGAGGTGTGGATACACCATTGGCCTGAAATTCAGTGAATCCCACTCTGCTGCTATTTGAATATACAGTAGAAAAGGTGTTTCAAAGGAAGCATAGAATGGTTTGGGTTGAAGGGACTTTAAAGCTCCTCCAGTTCCAACCCCCTGCCATGGGCAGGGACACCTTCCACTAGAGCAGGTTGCTCCAAGCCCCTGTGTCCAACCTGGCCTTGAGCACTGCCAGGGATGGGGCAGCCACAGCTTCTCTGGGCACCCTGTGCCAGTGCCTCAGCATCCTCACAGGAAAGAACTTCTGCCTAAGAGCTCATCTAAATCTCCCCTCTGGCAGGTTAAAACCATTCCCCTTGTCCTGTCCCTACAGGCCCTTGTCCAAAGCCCCTCTCCAGGTCTCCTGTAGCCCGTTTAGGCACTGGAGCTGCTCTGAGGTCTCCCCTTAAGGAGCCTTCTCTTCTCCAGGCTGAACCAGACCAGCTCTCTCAGCCTTGCTCCAGAGCAGAGCTGCTCCAGCCCTCACAGCATCTCCATGGCCTTCTCTGGCCTCACTCCAACAGCTCCATGTCCCTCTTGTGCTGCTTCCCCAGAGCTGGATCAGGACTGCAGTGGGTGGGTCTCCCCAGAGCGCAGCAGAGGGGTAGGATCCCTTCCCTGGGCTGCTTCTCGTGCTTTGGGGGTGCAGCCCAGCACACAGGGGGGTTCTGGGCTCAAGCGCACGCTGAAGCTGGGTCATGGGGAGCTTCTCCTCACCCCGTACCCCAAGTCCTTCTCCTCAGGGCTGCTCTAAAAGCAGGTCAATGCAGAAATCAGATATGACTGCTGTTTCTGACTCATCCACCAATTTGCATTTCTTCAAATAGTTACTACAGACAGAAAGAACACTAGGAGAGAGAAGATTTGTGTCTGAGATGCTCCTCTCCAGGCTGGGATCCCCACCGGCCCCTCACTGTCCAGCTCCTCAAGGATACCAGCTTCTCTGCTGCTGCTGTCACAGAAACACCACTAATTCCTCCCCATGGTTTGAAAATATCCCTTTTCCAGTGACACTGGCTACTCCCTCCTGAGCTTTCCCAAACACAGGCACTCTGTGGAGCCTGGTTACTTCAGAGTCACCAGAAGTCATTTTCTGGATGTGTTGCTGACAGCAGCTGAGTACTTGGCAATCAGCAAGGATCTGCTTCCAGCAACATGTGTCACCTCCACGGTTGTTGATGCACCACTGATGGGAGAGAAGGCTGTATTACAAGTTAGGACATGATTTAAGCCCTTTTGGGCTATTTCTGAGATATCCAGGGACTTTTACAAGTAAAACATTCCTTTTTGTTTACTGTCTTTTTACTTTTGGGAAATTCTAGCCACTGATTCTTACTGCTTTAGACTGGAGGTTTAATCTGGTAAACACTTAGGGATTTCCTCCCCACCCCAAAACATAGAAACACTTCAGACTTAAACTGAAGGGATAGCAAGGAAGCAGAAGATAAGGTATTTTTCAAAGTCATATGAGATTTGGAGTCCATCAATACTTCTGTGCTCAGGAGCATTTGAGGCTGGGGTTTTTTTCTTCTTTTCCCTGTTACCCCCCCTAAAATCCTGAGCACACACCTCCAAGTGAAGCATGAGCTTAGCATATCATGGAGTGGTTTGGGTTGGAAAGGACCTTACAGCTCCTCCAGCTCCAACTCCTGCCACGGACAGGGACACCTTCCACTAGAGCAGGTTGCTTCCAGCCCTGTCCAACCTGGCCTTGAACGGTTAAACTTGGGCCCACAGGGCAGTTAGGAACCATCAGTATCCGCTTCTGGTCTGATTTACTTGCAGAAAGACCCCCCAGGAACAGTAGCAGCAGGGTTCTAAGTCTGCCTGGACTCTTGAAGTTTACATCAGCAGCAAGCACGATGCTGTGAGATTCCTGAGCTTTTCAATGAATCAGCCTCAGATGTCCTGTCTCTGTTCCTGACCTAACCATTATTACATGGGGATGAACCAAATAAATGGTTGTATGAGCATTAAGTTAGTCCTGACCACAAGAATTTATTCAATCACTTAATGCAATAACACAATGAGCAGAGGAGTGTGTCTTCTGTGGTGCATCCCCTCATGCTCTGGCACTCATCCTCTTGCTGTGCCTTCACCGCTGTAGCTGCACATGCTCATTTTCCTCCTGCTTCTTGCAGCTTCCATCTTTCAGAGCAGCTTTAACTGAGGGCTAATCAGGGGAATGTTTAATTGTTCACTTGGCTCCCTCTCTGAAGCTGATGAGATGACCTTGCCAAGGAATCAGTGGGGAATTGTCAGAGCAAAGCAAGCTCGCTCGGTGAACTTCCAGTGCTCTGGCATGGTGCCACTCCTGCTATTTATAGCCCTGTTAGAAGAGCTGAGCTCCTGATTTGAGATCCAGATGACTCGCACACTGACCTGGAGCAGAGTCACTGCAGAAGCCTGATGAGCTGTCTCCATTTCCCAAGCCATTCAGGGCTCAGTTCTGACTTACTCGCTTACGTAAAGCCACTGGCAACCTCTGCACATCCCCATCAGTGCTTGCTGTGAGGCTGGGAAGAGAACTGCTGCAGATCTATGAAGACTCTGGTTCCTGCCCCTTGCCCGGGGACATGTGAAACTCATTCCTACCATAGCTTTGTCATTTCTCACTCCTCAGTGCAATTGTTTCTGCAGTGGATGTTGCTTTTGCTTTCAGCTCTGACCCGAGAAGTCTTGCATTGAGTTCTCTTTCATTGGGTAAATGAAATTTCAATGGGTAAATGTAGAAACAGTGTTATCAGTATTTACACAGTTCAGCTACAAGGCTGGAGTCCTTAACTAGAGCCTTTGACAGTCCCTCTTATCTGAAATGCTGGCTGATAAATTGGGTGGAACACAACTCAGTGTATGCTGACAAAGCATAAATGTTCAAGCCAGTGCCACAGCCACCTCTTTCCTTACAAACTAAACCTTGGCTTTCTAACAACAGATCTCAAATCAGGGAGCCTACAACACAGCTCTGAATCCCCTCAGACCTCTCTTAACTACCCACTTTCTGCTCTCCCTGGTTACAGGGAACAGCATCTCTATCTGAGCACTCACTTAGGACTCTTAAATAAGTGTTTTCACCCCGAGGCTAGGGTATATTCCCAAGGCTGTGTCTAACATCAGATTTGGTGTTGTTCAGTGTACGCAGGATGTTCTGTTTTCTGATCTCTTCGTACAGTCAGAACCTTTGTCTGGACTATGTCACCTTTGATGACTGCTGCCTCCTTTCCTCAGCCTTTGAGAACAGTAATCCTGCCCTTTGCTGCTAGAAAAGTGGTTTCCCAGCCCTGGCTGTTACCATCCCCCAGTGGCTCTTCCTTCCAGACCTCATCACATCTATGGCATTGCTTCATTTTAAAAGCCATTTTTAGTCTGTCATAAAGTCACAGACTGGTTAGGGTGGAAGGAACTTTAAAGCTCTTCCAGTTCCAACCTCCTGCCACAGGCAGGGACACCTTCCACTAGGGCAGGTTGCTCCAAGCCCCTGTGTCCAACCTGGCCTTGAACACTGTCAGGGATGGGGCAGCCACAGCTTCTATGGGCACCCTGTGCCAGCGCCTCAGCACCCTCACAGGGAAGAACCTCCTTGTAGGATGTGTTGTGTTGGGAAAAATAAGGTGCTTATTGTATGGCAGCAGTATCTATAGATGGGGGTAGAAGTCGTGGGGGAGCTGAGGGACTGACTTTCATGGCTCTTGTCTCTTGCAGCTGGTGTATCCTTATGACTTCAGGCTAACAGAGAAAGAGGTAAGAACTATTTCAATTATTTCCCCCGTTTCTAAAGATATTGAGCAGCAGAGATGGAGCTTTTCTAATGTGTGGTTTTGTTTGTTGTAGAAAACCAGTATCTGTTACTTGTCCTTCCCAGACTCCTACTCAGGTAAGTAATAGCAGCTGTTGGCCTTTCTGGCATGGTTCATTGCCATTAAGAAATGGGTTCATGATGGAAAGAGTGAGTCCTCGCCTCTAACACTGTGACATTGAGGAGCACCCTCCCTTAGGTCTGAACAAAGAGGCTTCTTGGCACATTGATTGCTCTGTGGATGTAGAATCTGGATCAAGTGGGTGATGGGGCAATATCTTGATGCTCTCACACACTCATGCTTCATCCATGCCAGTAAGATATAGAAAACAGTCACAGAGAGTATGTTCCTTAAAGTCTGCAGCTCTCAACTGCAGCACTTCTGTGTTTGTGATGTGCTCAGTGAAGAGCAGTAGATGGGAAGAGGGTGGATGCTTTCACAGCAGAAGGATTCCCAAAGCTTGGCTTTATAAATCAGGAAGGTGACATTAAGAAATAAGCAGGTTAATTTCTTCCCAGTACCTGTTTCTTTAAGGCTGGTTCCTGACTTAGTTTTCTACAGCCTTCCCAGTTTAGGTTGAAATGCTTTTAAGGATGTACTTGCACTAGACCTTAGTGAACACTCACACTAAGTGTCTCTTTTATCCAAGTAAATTGTTTCCTAATAGAAATATCTTCATAACACACATACACAGCAGTCACTACTCTTCTTCAGAGCACAACATCTGCAGGCAGTGAGAAGGGAGCATGCCCTCTTATCATGCTGGACCACTTTATTCAGTTGAGCCTTGGGTTTTGTTCAGTCAGCTTTATGTGTTTCCTCATAGCTGAGTTGCACATACTCAGCCCTACTCCTTCTGCCCACCCTAACCAACTGGTGAAAAATGCTGAGGACTTCATGCTTCTCTTTTTCCTGCTGGACAAATTATACTTGAGGGGGATGAATAGCACAGTGTGACCCATGGGCTGCCCAGCCATGGTGCTGGAACTGTTGTGCAGGAGATTGTCCTTAAAATCAGTGTTTGTGTGGTCTTGGATTAGGGTTGTTTGTAGGTTTTTCAGTAGGGTGGATAACAAGTGGTGGCTATAGCAGCTCAGGTTTGATGATACTGGCTGATATCTGTAATGTTCCCAGCAATGGCTTGGCAAAGTTTAGCTTAGTGATGCTGGTTCTTCTGGTGAGCTACGTGTCCTGCACTGAGGCTTTGGGGTTCCTTTATGCTGTTACTCTCCAATTCCTTCTTCAGTTTTAGAATTCCTTGTAAATGAGCATCCCTGTTTATGTCAGCACTTCAGATGTAACCAGTTCCCAGCTTTCTCTTGACTGAAACTTCCTTCTAAGCATTTGTGGGTTTCTCTGTCTCAGGTGGCCTGGGGGACACTCAGTTCAGCTTCCGCCTGCGCCAGTCGGGGGGGCAGAGGACCACTCACTACGAGGATGATGGCGAGTACAATAGAGAAGCCTCTCTGATGCTGCAGGTCAGTTGGGTTTCAGTGCACTGCTTACACATGCTAAGCAAATGGTAGTGCTATTGGGGTAAAAACCAACTATGCTTTTGATTTGTTTTCTCTGCATGAAATACGCATTTTATCTGGCTGTGGGAACAGTCAGCAAAGGAGAAAGCTTTCAGCACAGGGACTTACTTCCATGTTAATATCCATAGAGGGCTGTGTTGAGAATCCCAGCTACTCTGAGAGGTGGAACTGAATCAGGAGACCCCAGCTTAGGGCAAGGATCATGGCTGGCTATAGCAAAAAGAAAAATGATGGCACCCAAATGACATCCAACAGCGTGCATGGCTAACTGTGCATGTTCTATGAGGCAAGGCAAGAATATCCTTGCCCATGTTTACCTCTGTTGTTGAGGGGTGATGGTTCTTTTCTTTTGTTGCAGGATCTATGCATATAAAACCAGCCAGAATAATTGGCATGCTACAGATCCATGCTTGGGCTTGCTCTGCATGGGCTGGTCTAACCAAATCCAAGCACTAAGATCAGAAGTGTCCATTAGCTGTGGGTTTTCCATCAGTGAACTACCCATTTCACACACGGAAGGGGTGAGCACTGTTGCTTCTTCTTATTGAGCAGAAGGCCATCAGATCAGCTTGTCGTCTTCTGCTCTCTCCTTTGAGGTGATGCTTCCTGTGCATGAGCCTGTTTAATACTTCTGCAGTCTTTCTGTGATGTGCTTTTGTAATGTGCAGTCCAGAAATGGATTGCTGATCTGAGAGGGAGCAGGAGGATTTCTTTTCCTAAATTCTGGTCTAGAGGTGTTTCAGCTTGCAAACATCTCTAGTGCTCTGTAGCAAGCAGACACTGCCTCACAGATTACCCAGCTTTAGAGAAGAAAGGCAAGGAAAACTGGGTTCTGTTGTGCAAAAATAATATTTGGGGAGAGAAAGGTGCCTTAAACTGGGACTTCAAAAAATTATATAAAGTTAAAGACAAGTTTGATGGCTTCTGCCTTAAATACGTCATAAAGCAATATGTAAATGCGATGGGTACCATAGAGGACGTTTCCTCCCCTCAGAAGATGAAGTATTCCTTCTTCAACAGTACATTGTCCTCTAGCTGTCAAGGAAAAGAGAGTCAGAGCACAAGATTGGCAGCACAGATGAGCTCAGTGGGTTGGCTGAGCTGGTCCTAATAGTGGAAACCTTAGTTAACCCTTTGCGTGGATGCCCTGAAGGTGCTGTACAAAGGGGCCAGCAAAAAGTGCTACCCAGAGGTTGTAATTTGGGGCAGTTTAGATGTTTATCTCCTCTCTATCTTCAATTTGGAAGCTCTCCTGGATAGTTTAGCATAGATAATGCTGGTAAACAGGAGGGAATGCTGTCATTGCATCATCACAGGAGTGCAGTGTGCTGTTAGGTCAGTGGCCAGAGGCAGTTTGGTGGCAGCAAGGATGGGTTGCTCAGTAACAGCACTGTTGGTCTCTTGCAGAGGGAGTCAGCTCATTACTTTGGTTATGTGTACTTCAGGCAAGTCAAGGACAGCTCCATGAAGAGGGGCTATTTTCAGAAGGTGAGTGCTGCAAACAGATAGCTTGTTACTCAGCTGCTACGTAGCTGTAAGAAGGCACCTAGCCCCAGCTGTAACCAGCACCACTTCCTACGTGACACCCCCAGTGCTTCTGCAGGAAACAGCAAAGGTTGCAGGGAACAGGAGTATGTGGAAAGTGTCATTCCAAACAAAGCTGGATGCTGTTGCCATGGTGTGTTGTGCAGTGACCTGCTGTCTGAATCACGAGATCCTCAAGCACCTGAACATTTGCTTCAGTACATACTCTGGTGTCACAGATAGTGAGAGTATCTGCTCACTGTTGCTAGTTATACCTTAACCTTACTGTCATTAGTAGCCATCTGGGAATGGGTCTCCTCCTGGGATGCATTTTCTGCCCAGCAGCAGTGGCACTGCTGTTACCTCACCAACACTCTCTTAATATAAATTCTTGTGGTACAGACACTGGGAAAAATAATATAAACTGCAGGTTTCTTTCAGCATATAATACACAAAGTGCTTTATATTCTTTAGCCAGATGGGTATGGTCACTGCCTGAGAGTAGAATTGCACTCTTTGCTTTGATCCAAAGATCTGCTTTTCTCCATGGGTCCCTGGAATTACTTTCAGTAGTGGTTTTTCACATAGAGAGATAAAATGCCATCCTCTCAAACAAATGACAGAGGGTCTCAGGCTGGAGAGAGGCCAGAGAAGGACCACAAAGATGATCCAAGGGATGGGAAGCGATGTGAGAAAAGGATGGGAGAGCTGGGCTGGTTCAGCCTGGAGAAGAGAAAGCTCCTTAAAGGCAGACCTTAGAGCAGTTCCAGTGCCTAAAGGGGCTGCAAGAAACCTGGAGAGGGGCTTTGCACAAGGGCCTGTAGAGACAGGACAAGGGGAATGGCTTTAACCTGCCAGAGGGGAGACTGAGATGAGCTCTTAGGTTCTTCCTTGTGAGAGTGCTGAGGCGCTGGCACAGGGTGCCCAGAGAAGCTGTGGCTGCCCCATCCCTGGCAGTGTTCAAGGTCAGGTTGGACACAGGGGCTTGGAGCAACCTGCTCTAGTGGAAGGTGTCCCTTCCCGTGCCAGTGGATTGGAACAGGAGGGGCTTTAAGGTCCCTTTACCTGAAACCATGGTTCTAGGAAGAACTCTACCAGTAAAAGTGCTGCCTTGAAGCAATTTCATGTGTTTGATGTTGGTTTTCAAGGCTAACCCCCTAGTAAGCAGTGTAATTATATCCAGTGCTAGCAATTATCATGCTTTCTGACTCCTGTATGTGCCTTTTTTCAGTCCTTGGTGCTAGTGTCACGCCTTCCATATGTGAACTTGTTCCAGTCCCTGCTGCAGCTGATTGCTCCTGAGTACTTTGACAAGCTGGAGCCATGCCTGGAGGCAGGTGAGCCCTCACATCTCGGGGGGGAGGCTTTGCACACTGGGGTCTTTCAAGGTTTTCATCAGGAGGTTTCTGAAAGACAGTTGAAATGTTCCAAATTAGTTCTTTCTGGAACAGATTCCTACAGGGAAAACTTTCATTCAAGTGGTTAAATGTCAAAATTATAAACAGCTGTAAAGGAAGCATCAATGGGAAATGTCTGACAACCCTCATAGATGTTGCTGTCAGTTTCCCATACAATGTATTTCCAGAGAGAGGAAAACCTGCTAATGCTACATCTCTGTACAGGTCCTTATTGCACTATTCAATTTAATCATGATTTATCAGCAGTATAGTGCTGCTGGGACTGCACTGGAAATGGTGGTGCAGATGTAAGTCAGGTGAGCACTGTGGGCAGTTCTGGTATCCTTCAACATAAGAAGGACATGGAGCTGTTAGAGCAAATCCAGAGGAGGCCATGAGGATGATCAGGGGCTGGAGCACCTCCCTTATGGAGACAGGCTGAGAACATTGGGGCTGTTCAGCCTGGAGAAGAGAAGGCTGCGTGGAGACCTCAGAGCAGCTCCCAGTGTCTGAAGGAGGCTACAAACATTCTGGAGAGGGACTCTTTATCAGCGATTGTAGTGACAGGACGAGGGGTGATGGGTTCAAACTGAAACAGCGGAGATTTAGGCTGGATAAAAGGAAGAAGTTCTTTACTGTGAGGGTGCTGAGGATTTGGGGGTCCTGCCAGAGGGGAGATTTAGATGAGCTCTTAGGCAGAAGCTCTTCCCCAGGAGGGTGCTGAGGCACTGGCACAGGGTGCCCAGCGAAGCTGTGGCTACCCCATCCCTGGCAGTGTTCAAGGCCAGGTTGGACAGAGCCTTGAGTGACATGGTCTAGAGGTGTCCCTGCCCATGGCAGGGGACTGGAACTGGGTGATCTTAAGGTCCTTTCCAACCCAAACAGTTCTACTATTACTTGATTGAGGGTTTGTTTGCAGCTAGCCAGGGAGACATGTGCACTAAGGCTGATTTGAATGGGCAGAACTCACAAGCCCAGCTGAATCAACTGTTTTGACCTTCACATTCAGCTTTTTCTTTCTCTGTGTCCCTGCAGTGTGCAACGAGATTGATCAGTGGCCACCTCCTGTACCAGGACAGACCCTGAACCTTCCAGTGATGGGCGTTGTCATTCAGGTACTTGGTGGTGATGGTATGTTTTCAGCAGCAGACTGGGGCAAACTGGGAGGTGGGACTGGTATTTCCTTTCCTTCTGGATGTTCAGTTTGCTCTTTACTCCAGAGTCTGTCCCTTTAGTCCCAACCTTTGTACAAATAGACTTTGGAATTGGGAAGCTTTCTCATGCGGATGATTCTTAGGGAAGAAAGCAGAGTGTGTGTGCATGCTGATCCCATCTCCCTGGATAATCTGTTCTTATTTGTAATCTAGGTGAGAATCCCATCAAGGGTGGATAAGCCAGGATCAAGCCCAGTGAAACAGTTCAACCAAGAGGTGAGATGCGGCATGGTGTGACACAAGCCCATGATGAGGAGAATCTAGACTGTTGAGGAAGGAGGATGGAGAAGAGCTGTAACTCTTTCAGCCTTAATCCTGTTTGAAACCGCTCTTTACTGCTTTGATTCAGCTTTCATTTTGATTCTTGTTCATTTCATCTTCTCCCTTTTCCTCTCTTTGGATAATGTTATCATCTGTCACAACTTCTGGTACCCATATTGCTAACCCTTATTGTCTCCATCTGTATCTTAAACTGTGTCTTCCACCAGAGGAAACTATAGAATATAAAGGAGCAGGCATGGGAAGTCCTTCGCATCTTGGAAAGAAGGGATTCCTGATGATCTTGTAGGAAAGGGAATTCATTTGGACCTTGAATGCTCAGTCCAGATCCATCCCTCTAAGTGTTAACCTTGTTCTCTTCTTTTTGTGCTTGTTGTACAGGGAGTGGATGTGGTCAGTGTAGTTGGCATTTCAGCCAGGAGGCTTCCATTTACTAACAGTTTTGGTTTTGTTTGGTGTTTTCTCTCCCTCATCTAGAATCTGTTACCAGCCCCATTGGTTCTCCCCAGTATTCATGAACTGGATCTTTTCAGGTGAGAGCCACCATCCCTGCAACCCCCTCCTCTCCCTCTGCTCTCCCCTCTCCTTCCTCAGAGCATCTTATAAATCCTAAGGATAATGAAGAACCAAAACTTACTGCTTTGCAGAGCTTCATGTAGAATACTGGGCTTGCAGAGCTTGTGTTTAAAGCTTGCAGAGCTTCAGTGTTTAAACCTGTGTGTGCTGCCCTTACCACACCCCTGTGTCCTGGTTAGAGGAGGTTTCTTCTCTTGACCTTGGCTAGTGATCAGCTCAAGCTTTGACATGTCGACATGGAGTGCCTGAACCACACTTGTCTGCATTACCAGTGTAATTCCAGTAGAGACACATCTGCTGTAATCCGCATGCATTTTACTTTGCTTAGATGAAAAAACACACGGAGAACAACATGATCAGCAGGTTGTTTTACATTGCTTTACATTTCCTTTAAACATGTCTGAAATGGTTGAGCAGCAGCATGTGTAAAGACGTGGCATTATTGGGGAATGCTAAAACTCAGTCCTGGGTTTCAGATTCCCAGATAGAAGCACATCTGGGCAGGGGCATATGCAAAGGCTGTGTCTGGTTGTGTCTGAACTGCATCTCTAAGCTCAGCTTGTCATTATTCTGCTCACTAACAGATGTTTCCAGCCAGTGTTAATTCACATCCAGATGTTGTGGGAGCTGATGTTACTGGGAGAGCCAATTGTTGTCATGGCACCATCCCCTACAGTGTCTTCAGAAATGGTTCTGGCACTTACCAGGTAATGCCATGAAATTTGGAGATACAGGGAGCTGGAATAATGGGTTCTGGCAGCTCTTCTCTTTCAGATTCATTCTTGTGCCAAGTAAATTGTTAGCTTGAATTTGCACACGAAAGCATGGAAACAAAGAGCATAGCAAGAGAGTGTTGCTCATACTTTATAATGGTAAAAAGGAGTAAAAGTGAATCTCCTGTGTGAGGAGATCTGATGGGTCATAGCCCTGAGGAACTTTGTCTCCCCAGCTTTGAACTCTGCTTTAGCAAAAAGGAACCCCAAACCCTGGAACTCCTCCAAAGTGTTACCTCTGGCAGGACAAAACCACTGCTCCAGTTCATACACATGATATAAACACATATTCCTGCTCTGTGAAGGGTTTATGTCTGCTTACAGCTGCCTGGCTCCTCTGAGGTACTGCTGTGACTACCGCCCCTACTTTACCATCCACGACAGTGAATTTAAAGAGTACACCACCAGGACACAAGCTCCGTAAGTAGCCACTAGACCCTTCCTGCCCTCCTTGCCACTGCTGTGTGAAGGAAATCCCCAGGTTAACACTGATCTGCCTTTTTTCCCCCTCTTTCCAGGCCAAACATTGTTGTGGGAGTCACAAACCCTTTCTTTATCAAAACTCTCCAGCACTGGCCACACATTCTTCGGGTTGGGGAGCTCAAAATGTCAGGTAAGGGTGGAAGCACAGTCCTGTTGTGCAGGTAGGCCTTGTGAGAGGCTGCATTGAGCTCACAGTTGTGGTGCTAGCTGTTGTTTGACACATCTTCATTCCTGTGAGAGCTGAGAAACCAAAGGCAAGTCTAGACTCTGCCTCAGTTGATGTGCAGGATGAGCACAATGACAAAGACAAATCATTGAGAGGATAACTTGCTGTATTTTTTTAAGCATTAAGAAAAAGAGAAGTCCTTCCTGGGCAGGAAAGAGAAAACTGGATAGAGAAGGAGAGGGAGGTGGAGAGATAGGCTCAAATTATTAGCTATGAAGCCAAGGAAACCTCTAGGTTGAGGAGTTGGGTTTTGTACAATGCCTCCTTGTCGTGGTTTAAACCCAGTCAGGTAACTTGTTCACTCACTCCCAGTGAGTGGTGCCGAGCTGACAACAATCGAGTTCCGTGTCCCCCCCCCACCGGGGCTCTCCCCTTCCCCGCTCCCGGAGGAACGGGGAGGAGGATCGAAAGAGTGCAACTCCCATGGGTTGAGACAAGAACAGTCCAGCAACCAATGTACACAAATCACCACCGCTACTATCAACTACAACAATGATAAGGGAAAATAACAAGGGAAGAGAATACGAAACCACCGGCCAAGAAAACGAGTTCCACCCGGAAGCCCGTGTCCTTCCGGGTAACTCCCGGTCACCCCTCACCCCGGCCATGACGTGCTGTGGTATGGAATACCTCCCCGGCTAGCCCGGGTCAGGCGCCCCGTCTCTGCTTCCTCACAGCTTCCCCTCCTCTCTGGCAGAGCATGAGCCTCACAAAGTCCTTGGTCAGGGTAAACATCACTTAGCAACAACTGAAAACATCGACTTCACCAACACTGTTCTCAGGCTGGAAGTCAAAACACAGCACTGCACCAGCTAACACAAAGGAAGCTACTGCTGAACCCAGGACACTCCTTAACACCTCTCTTGTCCAAAACTGGAGCAGGAAAGTTAGCAGATGAGAAGGCTCATGTGAAAGTGGAGTTAAGGGAGGGTATCATTGAAGTAGTGCAAGTGTAGGACTGGATGTTCTTGAGCGCAAAGTGTCTCAGGTGCATGCAATGGATGTGGGGGTGGATTCAGAGCCTGAACTGGTCACTCGATGTCATTCCACAGGAGACCTACCCAAGCAAGTGAAGGTGAAGAAGCTGGCAAAACTGAAAACTCTAGACACAAAACCAGGTAAGTATTTTGTCAGGCATGATTTAGTCTTGTTTATCTTTCTACATGAGGGATTTAGCACATGAACATGGCATATGTTATTCTTTGCTTCTCAACAAATGGGTGTTTTGGTATCACCATCTTCTCACATTATCATCTTCTCACATTTGAACTGCTACACAGTAGTGGCATCCCCCATGTAATACAGACAACTATACAGCTTTGTTTTGAGGTTGAAAAAGCCAATATGATCATTTGTAGAGGGGCTTCAGACAAGGGTCTGTAGGGACAGGACAAGGGGAATGGCTTTAACCTGCCAGAGGGGAGATTGAGGTGAGCTCTCAGGCAGAAGCTCTTCCCTGTATGGGTGCTGAGGCACTGGCACAGGGTGCCCAGAGAAGCTGTGGCTGCCCCATCCCTGGCAGTGTTCAAGGCCAGGTTGGACACAGGGGCTTGGAGCAACCTGCTCTAGTGGAAGGTGTCCCTGCCTGTGGCAGGGGGTTGGAACTGGAGGAGCTTTAAGGTCCCTTCAACCCAAACCAGTCTGGGATTCTGTGATTTTAGTCTCAGGAGAAGAGCTTCTCATTTTCATGGGCTTATTTTCTATATCATACCCACTTTTTAGATGTGGTGGAAGTCAAAGGAACTTGCTTGCCTAGATACAGCTGTCCCTTAACTAACTTCCTCTCAGGCCCGGCCATAAGCTGACTCCAGTAAACTTATCTCACTATCAGCTTAGCACAAGAAGGCTCTTGAGATAGTTCAGTGTGCTTGCTGTGAGTACTGGCTGCATGAGCAGTTCCTCTATTCTTGTAATAGCTTTTTAATCATTGCTCTAATTAACACACAGAGCAGCCAGGGTTAGGGTTAGTACTAGGAATTTGGGTTCTGTGATCCCTGTGTTATACAGCAGTGCCTCCGCTAGATATGTGGGCGAAGATTTGTTTCTAACATCTGTTTTTTTTCCTGGTTTGGGTTTGTTTTCAATCTAGGAATCTATACTTCCTATAAAACATTCCTGCACAAAGACAAAACCCTGATCAAAAGATTACTAAAGGTAAGGGCTTGCAACTCTATTCTTATGGGAAACCTGTGCTAACAGCTTGATTTAAACAGACAGAACTCTCCAGAAGTAACAGACTTTTAGAGCATGCAGTAATTTTGTCGGGTTGCTTGGACATGTTCATTGTGCCAGTTTTAACATTTTTCATTTGGTATTATTAAGGGAGACCTACAAGAAACTTAAAGAGGGGCTTTGAACAAGGGCCTGTAGGGACAGGACAAGGGATGGTGGTTTCAAACTGAAATAGGGGAAGTTCAGGTTAGATATAAGGCAGAAGTTCTTTACTGTGAGGGTGCTGAGGCACTGGCACAGGGTGCCAAGAGAAGCTGTGGCTGCCCCATCCCTGGCAGCGTTCAAGGCCAGGTTGGACACGGGCTTGGAGCAACCTGCTCTAGTGGAAGGTGTCCCTGCCCGTGGCAGGGGTTGGAACTGGATGAGCTTTAAGGTCCCTTCAACCCAGACCATTTCCTGATTCTGTGAACAATTGCTATCAAAAAGAGTCTGAAAAACAGATTGTAGGCAGTGAAATGTGAGTGATAGGTTTAAGTAGAGGGTGGAATGTGTGTTTTGGACAGCAGTTTTCCAGACTGCTCTGGACTGGCTGCTTCTGCGTGCAGTGTGCAGGTTCTGCAGTTCCCTGCATACCGGAGTGGCACCTTTGAGAATGTGCAATGTGCTATGTACTTGCAGGGGATCCAGCGGAAGCGCCCGTCCGAAGTCCAAAGTGCCCTTCTGAGACGTCACCTCCTGGAGCTCACCCAGAGTTTCATCATTCCCCTGGTAAGGAGTTGAACACAGACGTGCCCGAGGGGGGTGAGCAGGAGATGTGCGAGTGACAAGTTTGCCCTTGCTCTCTATTATTCACCCATAGCTGAGCATCTGTAATAGGTTCAGGATGTGGCACTCCAGAAATGTTTTACTCCAAGGAAAGGAACAAAATGCTTCTTGAAATGTCTCCTTGATCTCAGTAATCAGCCTTAAATCTGCATGTTGGTTATGGAGCACACGGTGTGTGAAGACAGAACATTTGCAGTGTAGGAATAGATAGATATTCCCTGTTACTTGATCTTCTCTGCTCTTTTCAACAGGTAGTCAAAGCAGGTATATAAGGAAGGGAAGGGAGCCCAAAACATTCCTCTGACACTGGAATCAAACCTATTGCCAGCATGAAGCAATCCCTTCTGGCTTGGGAATCTTGGCTGTGGACCTTTAGAGGCTCCACATGGTGGTCACTTCCCTAGGGCAGGTTTTAGTACATGCTTTCTTTCAAGGCCTTCCCTCTTGGCCAGGTTTGGCTCCTCCACTTCCTTTCCTACATCATCTTAGGAGGCAGGACATGGGAGGACAGAGCATCTCCTCAGATTCTAGTCTCTCCTGCCAACTTCTGCCCACCTGACCTTTGACCCAGCCATGGTGGGAAACAAGCTGGAACACTAGAACTCATGTCACATGAGGTAAAAACCAGAGAGTATGAGGCTGTTTTTTGAGTCTGTGATGTATCAGAGAAGACCATCAAACTCCATGAGCATTCAATAGGCTTCTTGATGGTTGCAACTTGAGTTTTTTAAATATTATTTAATGGGTTTGTGGTTTATTTCTTCTTAGGAGCATTACATTGCAAGTCTGATGCCTCTGCAGAGGGCCATTACTCCATGGAAGGTATGCTCAGTTTCCAGTCACTTCTTTACTTTGCCTGCAGGGATTGGGAATAGTTCTGCCATATGCTGATCACATACTCTGATACTCTGTGTGAACTTCCCTCATTGAAGGAAGAGGGTTATTACTCCTTTAAATACAAGCTGAAACAAACACTGGGGCAGATGCTTCCTGTTTTGCAGCAAGCTCAGCTATTGTGAGCCTAATTTGAATTTTACTACAAGGCTGGTTAAGATGTTCATCCATGTTTTGTTCTCTTAGTTACCAAGTGTGCCTTGTGCAGCCTCTTCCACTGTAAATACACACCTCATCTTGCCCCAGTTTCTTTTGGTGTGTTTAATATGGACCTTCTGTTGTGCAGAACCCTCCACAGATTCGTCCTTTCTGTCAGGAAGATTTCATGAAGACCCTTGAGCATGCTGGGCCCCAACTTACCTGTGTGCTTAAGGGTGACTGGTTGGGTCTCTACAGGTAAGACTTTGGTAATTCCCTGCCTTATCCCCTTAACAGCCTGTGCGAGTTGTAGTGAATCACATCCTGAATTAGAATAGGAGCAAAAAGGGGGTTTCAGGACAGAGACAGGTCACCTGAAAAGCTCAGGCCTATGAAGAATTGACTCACTAATAATGGTCAGGAGGAGCAAATGCAGGATAGAATCAATGCTGTGGTTTATGTGGCTCCAGCACAAGAGGGACATGGAGCTGCTGGAGCGAGGCCAGAGGAGGGCATGGAACTGCTGCAAGGGCTGGAGCAGCTCTGCTCTGGAGCCAGGCTGGTTCCAGAGCACCTGCTGCTGAGGTGGCTGGGACTCAGCTTCACACAGCATCTTAAATTGTCTCATCTTTTTCTCCCTCTGCTGCCACAACCCTTGTGTTTCAGTTCGTGCCTTTTCAATCCCATGTTGGATTTGATCTAAAATCTTCTGGCACAGATAAACCCAGGTATGGTGCTGCCCCTTGTTCATTTTCCTGCATAGCTAAGTAAAAACAGAAGTTCAGTACTGGACTGCACAGGAGAGGTACAAGTTACACCCCCTTTGACATAGCCTGATACTTTGTTTATGAAGGAGAGAGGTAAATCACCAGTTATATAGAACTTAAGTCCACACTGGCAAATGGTTGCGAGCTTTAAATAGCAGGAAAGGAGTTAAGCAAGATACTTGTGGCTGTAAGCTGTGGCTGCCCCATCCCTGGCAGTGTTCAAGGCCAGGTTGGGCACAGGGGAGTGGAGCAACCTGCTCTAGTGGAAGGTGTCCCTGCCCGTGGCAGGGGGTTGGAACTGGAAGAGCTTTAAAGTCCCTTCCAACCCAAACCAGGCTGGGATTCTGTGATACTACAGAGGAATGTGAATTCCAACAACTATCATAACTCCAGAGGAAAAGTGGGACAAAATAAGGCTGCAGAAAGACACAGAGCACCCTGTCTTGCCTTGGCTGAGGCATGAGCTGATGCAGAGGAAGGTGTGAGACTGCAGTGTTGCCCCTCTCATTGGTGACAATCTGCTAAAGCTGCTCAGCTGGATCATGTTGAGGCCTGAGCAGGGAGAAACCTCTGGTGTAGATAAGATAGGAGCAGAGAGTGTTAGCTCATAATCACTTACATCCCTAATGCCTCTGTGGGGCAGACTCTTTTCCTCTCACATGTCTGCTGCAGCAGGAAGGGGAATGTGTGCAGTGGAGCCATGAGCTCCTCTGGAGACCCCTGTCCCCAGCTCCCCTGTCACCTCTCTTTCCACAGAAGGTTCTTCAAGTCTCCCAACTTTGATGGCTGGTACCGTCAGAGACACCGAGAAATGACCCAGAAGCTGGAGGCCCTTCATCTGGAGGCCATCTGTGAGGCGGTATGTTCAGCTGCAGCATTGAAACCAGTGCCAGATGATACCTGCTTGGGCCTGAAACCTGGGAAATGAGGGTGCTTGGACACTTGAGGTACCTTGGACACTTACTGGTACACCTCAGTTCCGCACTGATGGAGGGGGACAGTGCCTTCTGCCCTTGGGAGCCACAGTTCTGTCTCATGTCTGTCAGTGCTCAGGGATAACAGCACATGTAGGGGATAGGAGCATGAGCAGCTCAGCTCCCTGCTTTGTCAGCCACTGCAAGTCACGCTCTGGCTGCTTCTATCAACTGTTGTTCATCCATCATGCCCTTCCCAAGCCAGCAGAGAGCCAGACTGAGAGTGTCATCTCTTGCTGGCTTCCTTAATGCCTAATGAAAATAGGTTTTTCAGTAGTGACTGCTGGTCCACTTTCTTAAACTGAGCAGCTGCTCAGGTCCCTGGAGCTCTGGCATTTTACCCAAGTGCATCTTGAGCCTAGACACCCCTCAGTGTGCTGGGCTGCATCAGAAGCAGCGTGAGCAGCAGGTCAAGGGAAGGAATTCTGCCCCTCTGCTCTGTGAGACCCCCTGTAGCACTGGGTGCAGTTCTGGTGTCTCCAACATAAGGAGGATGCAGAGCTGTTGGAGCAAGTCCAGAGGAGGCCACGGGGATGATCAGGGGCTGGAGCACCTCCCGTATGAAGACAGGCTGAGAAAGTTGGGGCTGTTCAGCCTGAAGAAGAGAAGAGAAGGCTGTGTGGAGACCTCAGAGCAGCCTTCAGTATCTGAAGTGGGCTACAAGGATGCTGGAGAGGGACTTTTCATTAGGGACTGTAGTGATAAGACAAAGGGTGATGGATTCAAACTTAAACAGGAGAAGTTCAGGTTAGACATAAGGCAGAAGTTCTTCCCTGTGAAGGTCCTGAGGTGCTGGCACAGGGTGCCCAGAGAAGCTGTGGCTGCCCCATCCCTGGCAGTGTTCAAGGCCAGGTTGAAGACAGGGGCTTGGAGCAACCTGCTCTAGTGGAAGGTGTCCCTGGCCGTGGCAGGGGGTTGGAACTGGATGAGCTTTAAGCTCCCTTCCAACCCAAACCATTCTATTATTCTCTGATCTTCAGCTCCACTGCAGGTCCTTGAGCACAGTGTGGGCAATGCCAAAGCTGTCTCCTTTTATGAACAGGCCAGATTCTGGCAAACAGATTTCAGTTGTGAGCAAAGCACAAGATTCATAGTACTGCCTGGAGGAGGGGAGCCTGCACTGACTTTGCATGACTGCATCTACCCTTCGTTCTTCTCCTCAGGCAAGAACTTGATGCTGTGACAGTTAGGAAACTGGGGAGAGCTCAGTCTTGTTCATTTATGGTTTAAGTGCTGTGAGCAGAGTTGTGAAAGAGGATGAGAATCCTCCTCCTGGCTTTTGTTAGGGGTATCTCTTTGGGAAAAGCTTCTGTAAAGAAGAAATGTCCCTGAAGAAAGCTGTTCTCTCTCTTTAGAACATTGTAGCCTGGATGAAGGACAAGTCCGAGGTGGAGATTGTAGACCTGGTACTAAAACTTCGTGAGAAGCTGGTGAGTTTTCCTCCCTTCTTCCTGCCCTGGCTCTTCTGTCTGTATCTCTGTGGCAGGGAGAGACCAGGAACATGGATAGCATTTGTTGCTTAGAAAACTTTGCTCTTGTTCCGTGATTTGGAGATTGGGACAGTCAGGAAACTTCAATATTTGTGTAGGAAAGGACACACAAATGATGCTGCGGGGGCTGGAGCAGCTCTGCTCTGGAGCCAGACTGAGAGAGCTGGGCTGGTTCAGCCTGGAGAAAAGAAGGCTCCTTAAGGAGAGACCTTAGAGCAGCTCCAGTGCCTAAAGGGGCTACAGGAAACCTGGAGAGGGGTTTTGGGCAAGGGCCTGTAGGGACAGGACAAGGGGAATGGCTTTAACCTGCCAGAGGGGAGACTGAGATGAGCTCTTAGGCAGAGGTTAGGAATCGTGTGCGTCAGTGACATACATAGAGATAAATAGTAGCAGGAAACGATGTAGCCCAGTCTGGCAAATTCTGCTCATCCCTGAGGTGTGGCTGGCTCAGCACCCTCAGTTACCTGCTCTTGCTGTCAATGGACACAGGAGAAGTTCAGAGCAGTGCAAGTGCAGGGTAGGCAGTGCCACCATCTGCCAGTCACCTGGGTGAGTGACCTGTCTGAAACATTCTGGCTGTAAAACCTTTGAGGGTCCTTTATAAACCTGCTTGATAGGAGCTGGTGCAACCAGCTGGGGTCTTGAGCTCCGCTGAGCTTTCGGTCTCCGTAACCATCTATGGCAGCGGGTCTGGTGTCTCATAGAGACAACTGGAGTTTGCTCAGGACAGGCAGAGCAGAAGGAGGAACTTTGAGGCTGTTTTAACCTTCCTGTCTCCCTGCAGGTCCGAGCCAGGTGCCAGCACCTCCCTGTGAAGGAGGAAACACTGCAGAGAGTCAGTCTGTACATCGAGACCATCATCGGCTCCCTGCCCGAGGACCTCCAGGCCGTGCTGCACCACCATTGAGAATGGAGCAGGGACGCTGTGGGACAGGGAAGGGTCCTCCCACCCCACTCCGAGCTGTGGGATGCTGCAGTTGTGTTTGGAAAGGAAACTTCTTCCCTGCTCCAGCCACATGCCCTAATCAGGACCTTGCTCACAACCGTGTAGGATTGTGATATGGGTCAACTCTGTAGCAGGATTAGGAGCCATGTGCACTGTTCTCTGCCTAGTCTTGCTCTTAGAGCTGGATTAGGGGCTGTAAATGGGGCACTGCTCCCTGTGTGGCTGTTGTCAGATCAGAAAGTGACAGCCAGGCTTCCAGCAGCATGTGATAGGCTGTGCAAAACATGCATTGCCCATGTATACACCTCCATCTTCATCTGGTGCTTGGGCTCTCCAAATTCCAGTGCCTGGGAGGAGCAGGACCAGCCTTGTAGGGGGCAGCTGGTTTCAGGACAGCTCCTGATGATAGTCACAGAATGACAGAACGGTTATAATGAGAGAGATGCTGTTCCCCACACAGAAATGATGTGAGAGAATTGTCCCTACCCATCCAGCAGCCTGACTCATGCTGGCGTGAGCCTGAGAGGCAATGGGAGTGGGAGGATGAATTGCTGGACATGGAACACTGTGTTTCCTCCAAGGCAGAGACAAGAGAAGAAGAAGAAGGGGCTGGTGCATGTGCAAGGATCAGCTCTCCAGGGAATCTCAATGGGTGCTGTGTGAAAGCAGCTCCCAGAGCTCCACAGAGAGGAGCTGGCCTCCAAATGTCATTTATTCACCCTGGAAAATCAAGTTTGTGTGCGCTAATAATGTACAAGAGAGCTGGAGCTCTGCTGGGCACAGGGATAATGTAGCCAGCGCCCTTGCTGATAAAACGTGTTGGAGAACCTCATTTCTGCAGCCTGTGTCAGCCTTGCACGTGGGCACCTGGGGAGCAGCCCATATGTGAGCCCTGCACCAAGAGCAGCGGGGAGCAGCTCTTCCAGCTCCACCACAGCTTGTCCTCACCACAACCCAGCTTCCAACTCGGTCATTCTGCTCCCATTCACCTCTTGGGGAAGACAGAGGGATGTGTGTGTGCTTCAGGGTGAATGTAAAAGAGACCAGAGGCTCTGCTGATGCCCTCTGCCTGAGAGAGCCACCTCTCTGCCTCTGAAGTGGATTTACCATAACCCCATGGTTGGTTGCTTCTCCTATAATTACGTTTCTCCATCCACCAGCCTGGCCAGGGCCTGTTTCCCTGGGTCTGGCAGCCTGCTGCACTCCTATCCTGTCAGAAGCCCTGGAATACACATGGCAGGAGAGCCCAGCATCACAGCCAGAACCTGCACAAAGGTGTCAGCAGCTTGTGGTGGCAGTGATGCTGTCTGGTGGCCTCTGCCTGTTGCTGCCTTGGGGCTGTGGAGATGTTGGTGAATCTCAGAGGTGGCTGAATCCTTCCTGCACTTTCTGCTCCAGAGCCAGGCATGGACAGTGCAGGAACACAGGAAGCTGCTGGGATCCCCACCATCTCCAGCCTGGAAGCAGCCACGTGAGGAGACACAGCCATACGTCCCTGTAGTAAGGAACTTGTACAATACTCCTAGTGTATATTCTGTATATAGAGTTGGTGTGCGTCTGTGTGATAGCTCTGGAGTGACTGTGGTGGACCAAAGCACTAATGTATAGTAGAAAGCATTAGTTTAAAAAAAAACAAATGAAGCCAGGCTGTGTCCTGGGCTTGAGTCTTGGTGGATCTGTTTGGTTGGGAATGGGGTTTCTCTGCAGAGGGCTGTGGAGTCGGTCGTCCTTGGCTTGGTGGTTGCTCAGTCACTGTTAGATGTTGTCAGGGGCTCTGGGTCAGCACAGGGGCTCCTGTCCCTTTCACAGACATCTCCATAGGGTTCACTACACCCAACCCTGGGAAGGGCAGCTCAGCCCTCACCCATCCCTCTGCCCAACTCACAGCAGGGCCAAGGCATCAGCAAAGCAAACGCTGCGCGGTTTCCATCTTGTAATGCTCACCTTCCTGCCACCTCGTAGCCATTCCTCCCCAACCCAGGCATCCTCCTTCAGGTGTGATTGCTCTTTATGATGTGTTTTTAGCTTTGCATTCCTCCCAGGGAGGTCAAACTCTTTCATAGAATCACAGAATGAATCAGGGAATGGTTTGTGTTGGAAGGGACCTTAAAGTTCATCGGGCAGGGACACCTTCCACTAGAGCAGGTTGCTCCAAGCCCCTGTGTCCAACCTGGCCTTGAACACTGCCAGGGATGGGGCAGCCACAGCTTCTCTGGGCACCCTGTGCCAGCGCCTCAGCACTCTCACAGGGAAGAACTTCTGCCTTAGATCCAATCTAATCTTCCCCTGTTTAAGTTTGAACCCGTTACCCCTTGTCCTATCACTACAGTCCCTAATGAAGAGTCCCTTTGACATGGCTTTGGGCAAGAACCTCCCCCAAAGCAGTAAGGAGCATGAGCTTCCTGATTGCAGCCTGTTCCTTATCTAACAGGAAAGCCCAGGAGCACCTCAACCATAACACCTTTATTTATGAGCACCTTCTCCCAAGCCCTGTGGAGGAATTCAGGTTCCTCTCTGTTAGGAAGCATCACAACCAGATACAGAAATGCCCACCACCCTGCCTGGGATAGTCACAGCGGATGCTCAGCTGATGGAAGGTCTAGGGATCACCAATTGTCTGTGTGCCACCAGCCTCCTTCCACAGCAGCAGGATGCTCCCGAGCCCACAGAGCCCTCCTGCTGCCAACAGCCAAGTCATTCATGGTGCAGAATAGGAGTATCCTGTTCATGGTGCAGGACAGGAGCATCCTTCTTCCCAAGAGCTCCTGTCCCATCTCCCATGTGGCAGTTGCTCATGGTTTTGCTGTCTGCACAGTGGAGGTGATGGGACATTGGGCTGCCTCCAGCAGCGATGGGATACAGACAGGATTCCCACTGGGACAGAGCCCCTGCAGCCCCCATATCCCCAGTGCTTCCTGCTCCACACTCAGCACCAAGGGGCAAGGCCAGGGGCCTCCTGCCCAGCCATGACAGGGATGTGGACATGCTGATGAAGCTTCAGGCAGTGCGAAGGCATCGGGATGAGGTGAAGCCTTAGGGAACACCCACCAGGGACTCATCATAGAATGCCCTGAGCCCCTGGGGGTGCTGCAGGGAGAGGCTCTTGCCCACCACCTCCTGCCAGAAGTTGTGCCTCAGCCACCCATAGACCAGGCTGTGCAGGAAGCCCTGCAGGGAGGTGCTCAGGGCCTGCAAGAGAGGAGCCAGCGCTGCAAACCCATCACCTCCATGCTTTTGCTCCCATGGGATCAGCTTGTGGGAGTGCCCAGGCTGCAGGACACCGGAACACGGGTGGTGGCTTCTCACCACTCACACGTCTGATGGGGACACAGGTCCCAGCTCTGGAGGCCAGGAAATGGGTTTTACTTACTGTGGCAATGTAGAGGGCAAAGACCGAGGTAGGTTTGATGCTGGTGAAGGAGAGGAGGGTGAGGAGGAAGGCTGCGGTGGAAGACAAAAGGATGTTCCTTGGTCTGCTTCACCCGGAGCTTCCCTCTCCAAGTGGCAAATGCCTTTCCCCTGTCATAGCCCGTTTCCTATGGGCTCTATATAGGGCAAGCACACAATGGGATGTTAACAACATGTTCCTTCCTAACACACTGCCCAGGGACATGGGGAACTCACTGCCACAGGTTTCTGTAAGGCTGAAAGCATAAATGGGCCTCAAAGAGAAGAGAGATCCCTAAAATCAGGTCCAGCAGATTCCACCCTCCAGCTCAGGAAATGAGCTGGAAAACCTGTCACTGTCAGAACAGGGTGGGATAAAGAAACTGTTGGCTGGGCTCCGTGGTGGTTGGGGCTGGCTGAGCTCTCACTTTGTGTCTGCAGCCAGAGGGTCCTACAGACACCCGGAGGCTTTGCACTAAACCTCTTGTCTTGGCCCTGGGAGCTGTCTCAGCGCAGGAATGTGCAGGCACTGGAGCGGGAGCTGTGGCACATTCACACCCAGACTCACCTGGAGCCCAGCAAAGCAGAAAAACCAGCTGGAAGTAGTGGGAGACTCTGCTGATGCTGCGAGTGCTCCTGCCCGCAAAGCCGTCTCTCTCCAGAGTCAGCAGCGGCTCCATGGTGTCCCTCCGGCACCGGCGCTGCACCCTGTGGTACAGGAGCTGGATAGGGAGGAACAGGGTCAGCCGGGATGTGCTGGATGCTGTGGAAGGACCCCAGTGCACCTAAATGCACCCCACTGCATCCCACTGCACACTCGGCTCACCGTGCAGCAGCTGAGCACCACCAGCAGGTACAAGAAGAAGATGATTTTCCCCTCCAGGCCCACGTCCTTCCTGCTGACATACTGGGAGGCAATGGGGAACCAGTGGGGCCATGGGCCCAACAGCTCCTTCCACAGGAGCAGGGCTGAGCTGTGCCATCAGCACCAGGGCACTGCTGGAGGTGGGAGTTGCATCTCTACCCGAGCAGGGACATTCCTGCCATGTCCCTCCAGTAGCATCCCAATGGACCTGCTGCCTTCCCAGTGTCCTTCTGAGCCCACCCACCCTTGGCAGCGCTGGGCAGCCAGATGGGGAATGGGAATGGTGGGAGTAATGGGCATGCAGTAGTGCTCACCTCATAGCAGACATCCTGGGCACGGTGGATGAGGAACAGGCAGCTGAAAGGACAGAGGATGCTGGTGGTGGTCCCCTAATCCCCATCCCAAAGCCTTCACCATCCAGAGCTGTCCCCTGTGTGCCTTGCAGGGGCTGTAGCACACCCAAACCCACCGGGGTCACCCAGCAGTATACCTGGAGCAGTAGAGGCTGTAGGTCTCGTGGGAGCCATTGCCCCTCCGTGGCATGATGGGCTCGAGGTGTCTGGGTGCGATGTCAGTGAGAGATGTACCACGGGCAATGAGCTGCCCTAGGAGCGTCAGCGCCGGCACCAGCCTCGCAGGAGAAGCCAAGATGAGGTGAGCGCATCCATCCCGTCCCACCCCATCCCGAGCCAGGAGGGCCAGTGCTGTGCCACAGCCCTGCTGGGGGTGCAGAGGGCCCCAGGGCACATACCAGGCCAGGACATAGGGCAGCTCCTGTAACACAGGCTCAAGGCACCCGCTTCCCTCCTGCAGGGAGGAGACCACTGGGGGCTGTGGGTCCTGCAGCAGCTCCAGCTCCAGCCCCGCTCCGCCAGGGTGTGGGGTGCTGGGAAACCACTTCCCTTCCACATTCCACAGGGAAAGGGGCTGTCCTGGATCCCCTCAGCTCCCTGGGTTCACACAGGGCCGCAGTGGCCGTGCTTGGGAAGGGAAGGTGACACTGACCTGCAGAGCTGCCACGTGCCGGGCTCTCCAGCCACGCACCATGCGGTAGGACTCAAACGCGTAGACAACCACCATCAGGAATGAGATTGCATAGAACGTCTGGGACAGGAGAGGGAGCGGAAGAGGAGAGGATGAGGAGAGAGGAGAGGAAAGAGGAAGAAGAGAGTGGGCCCCTGTATTGCCCAGTACCCCAAAGGCACCTTCCCCTTCCCTCTCCATGCTCTGCACCCTGGCATCTTGCTGCCTTTGTGCCAGGAGCAGCAACACAGGAGCAGCTCCCCAGTACCCACAGCCCCAAGAGTAAATGGGCTTGTGCTGTCCTTGTGCCCACCCTGGGGATGGGGACCGGTGGCCTCTCTGGCTGATGGCTTAATCGGGAGGGGGAGCACTGACCACCTGGGGCCATGTGCCTGTGCTGGGCTCTAGTGGCATGAACCAGGTTCTGCCCCCATCTGCAGGCCTGAAACCACTGTGATGGCCACCCTGTGCACTAAGCAGCTGGGGAGGGGACAAGAGGGACGCAGCACTCCCCTCACTGGGGCTGGGCATAGACACATTTCCCCTTGGAAGTGACAGAGGGAACAGGGGCCATTGCTCATTAGCAGAAATCCCCAGCCTTGGACTTCCCTGGGGACAGTTCAGCCTGCAGACAACTCTGTTCCTGACGGTGTAAGTGGGAGTTTCCATCCTCATGCTATGAGCTCACCCCTTACCGTGGCCAGCATCCATCCATAGGGGCAGGCAGCATAGGCTGGGATGAAGAGAGGCGCTGGGAGCGCCTGGATGGTGGCTGTGCCCAGCACTGAGGCAGCTGCCAGGAGATCTGCCAGGGCGAGGAGACAAAGGGGACGAAGCTGAGGACAGGGGACAAGGGGCAGCGTTAGTTCTGGCTGGAGGCATCACCCCAGCTCTGAAGAGCTGCCACGACCACGTCTCTCCCCAGGCTGGCACTGGCTGTATGTGGAGAGCTGGGTGCTGGGCATCATCCTGCACCCCCTGCTCCCCTCCCTGTCCCACCGTGCATTAACCCAGCAGTGATGTCCCTGGGGCTCAGCTGAGGCCAAATCCCATCCCTGGGAGCCAGCAGGACTCACCTGGATGTGGCAGCATCGCCTCCGCCAGGAGGTGACAGCAAGGACGGATCCACTGCCCAGGAGGCTGGAAGAGATAGGGCTGATGGTGAAGTGTCACATCAGGGCAGAGATGATGGTGCCCGGTGTGGTGGCTTCCCGGTGGGAAAGGGGCAGGATGGAGACAGAGAGGAAAAGGGGAAAAGGAAAGGGAAGAGGAAAGAAATGGAAGAGGGGAAAGGGAAGAGGGGGAGGCAGCAGCACCCACCTCAGCAGCGAGGCCGGCAGGTAGATGCACATCAGCAGAAAGACCTGGAAGAGAGACTGAGATGAGCTCCAGCCCCAGGGTCCTGTGGCAGGGACACAGCAGGAGCACCAGGCACAGGACACGGAGCCCCAGCACCCTTGAGCATCCCTGGATGAAGCAGCATCAAGAAGCTGGTGCCTCTCTTCACCGCAGAGCGGGCAGAGCCGAGGCAGAGGTGACTTCCCCAGGGGCTGGAGCCCTTTGCTGGTGGTGAGTGCAGGGTCCATCAGCCGGTTCCTTGCCTGCCGCACACTGCTGCTGCAGGGACGGGCCCCTCGGTGATGGCTGCATGAGGGGTTTCCTGCTGCTTCCTCCTGAGCTGACCGCACTGCAGCACCCAGGTTTCCATCACCTGGGGCTTGGGAGAGCCTGGAAACTGCATCCTGCTCTGGGCTGCACTGGCGACAGCATGTGGCTGCCAGGGAGGAACCAGCGGGACTGGAAGAGCTAGAGCTCCCAGAGCCAATGAGTCAGGCACAGACAGTGGAGCAGCACCCGGGACGGACACATAGAATGGTTTGAGTTGGAAATGTGAGATACATCAGAGTGATTCGTGTCAGCAACTCAGGGGTCCTAGTGATCATTGCACTTTGTGTGGAGATGGAATCCCTTGTGATCATTGTGCTATGTGCAAAGGGTAGGATAAGTGTCCCTGTCAATACCACAGTGAGGAGGAAGAAGAAACAAGGGAATAATTCCCCTGGGTCAACCGCAATATTGTGCAAAGAAATGTTTTGTTCATTGTTTAAATTGCATGAATGTTCTTAGAAACGGGAGGGGGGTAACTTCGAGATATGTCCTGCTACAGAACGTCGTGAAATCTGTGCGCTGAAAAATAGACACATAAGGAGTGGAATTTATGGGGGCTAAGATGGCGGTCAGACTTGTGATAGACATAATATTTCTTCACCCGGACACAAGACCCCACCAACAGGTGGAGAAACCCGGGAAAAAAAAGACAACGGGATTGGCTGAAGAAGCCCGGGAAAAAAAGACAACGGGATTGGCTGAAGAAGCCCGGGAAAAAAAGACAACGGGATTGGCTGAAGAAGCCCGGGAAAAGAAGACAACGGGATTGGCTGAAGAAGCCCGGGAAAAAAAGACAACGGGATTGGCTGAAGAAGCCCGGGAAAAGAAGACAACGGGATTGGCTGAAGAAGCCCGGGAAAAGAAGACAACAGGATTGGCTGAAGAAGCCCCGGAAAAGAAAACAACAGGATTGGCTGAAACCCAAGAAGCCTGGGAAACCAAAAAGTATGAGAGACTATCCCCAGAAGCTCCCCGTGTGTGTTTCCGGCGGAGCGGAGACCCCCCGGAACACCCAGCGCTCCTTGCTTATTGTCTCTCGATATTAATTATAATAAAAATCAATTAAAACTGATTGGCTAGGTTTTTATAACAGAAGGGACCTTAAAGCTCCTCCAGCTCCAACCCCCTGCCACGGGCAGGGACATCTTCCAATAGAGCAGGTTGCTCCAAGCCCCTGTGTCCAACCTGGCCTTGAACACTGCCAGGGATGGGGCAGCCCCAGCTTCTCTGGGCACCCTGTGCCAGCGTCTCAGCATTCTCACAGGGAAGAACTTCTGCCTTAGATCCAATCTAATCTTCCCCTGTTTAAGTTTGAACCCGTCACCCCTTGTCCTGTCACTACAGTCCCTAATGAGTCCCTCCCCAGCATCCCTATAGGCCCCCTTCAGATACTGGAAGGCTGCTATGAGGTCTCCACGCAGCCTTCTCTTCTCCAGGCTGAACAGCCCCAACTTTCGCAGCCTGTCTTCATACGGGAGGTGCTCCAGTCCCCTGATCATCCTCGTGGCCTCCTCTGGACTTGTTCCAACCGGGAAAGCCCTGCCCAAGCGACTTGGATCCCTTTGCCTGCAGCCATGGGCACTTTCTGCAGCCCCCCTCGATGCTGGTCCCAATCCCCGGTGTGAGCAAACCCCCTTTGGCCAGGAATGGTGTCCGCAGCACCAGGCAGCGGCTTTCCCAGCTTCCTGCACAGGGTTCCCCGCAGGATTTACCTGGTGATCCGACAGAGCCGACGGCTGCTCCTCCTCGTTGGCCATGGGCAGGCAGCTGAGCACCAAGAGCCCCTCTGTGCCACCAGACGCAGCGTGGGGAGAGGCGGCAGTGCCCCCAGCGCGGCTCCGCTGTCCCCAGCGCAGCTCTGCCGCCGCTGCCGCCTGGGCTGGCTCCGCTCCCCGCCTGCAGGGCTCCGGCTCCGCCGTAGGAACCTGCCCAGCCGGAGCTGCCGCGGGAAGCCCCGAGCGCAGGGCGTGCTCAGCCCCTGCTGGGCTCAGGGAGCCGGCACCGAGCGTGGCTCTTCGGCACCCCCTGAGCCTCCAGCTGCGAACCAGCGTGTACAGGGACCGGCACCCCCGCTGCTGCTGTGGGGGAAACTGAGGCACGGGGAAAGGCCCCGCGGGGCACAGGAAGCCTGGGCAAGGTGAGCCCCAGGCACTGCTGGGACCACAGGCCATGCCAGTGCCATGATGCCAGGGTGCTATGCGAGGGATGCTCTGCAACACCAGGGTGGGCGGAAGGGATGGGGTGATGGGAGTGTAACGTGTGGGGTTTGTTCATCAAGAAGTTTGGGGGGAGGGAGGCTCTCTGTGGCTGTCGTTATGTGAAACAATACTCCTTTAGACTCTGTAACTGTTGTACTCTGTAGGTAATGGGGGGAGGTCAGTTGTATTGTTGCGCGGGATTGTGAGAGAGAAAAGGGGGCTGGGTGGCTCGAAGTGGTGTCTTGTTGCAACGCTTGAGGGGAGGGGGCTGCGACGGTGAGGAGGCTGGCAGTGGACGCTGCTCGAAGCCTCTGGGAGCTTCTCGAAACTTCCCGAAACTTCTCGGTAATGAGACCCCTGCAACAAAGGGAACCAATGGGGAAGAGCCATGTCAACATCCGAGTGAGGAGGGGCGACAGGATTGGCCGGGGCCTTGAACCGGAGAAGATAAAGGACCGCCTCCCAGGGACCGCGTGTGCGGGGCTTGGGCGGAGCGGAGGGCTCCCTGGCGCACCCAGCGCTGTTTTATCTGCTATCGCTTACTCAGTTTAGTAAGATTTATACTTGAAACCAAAATTGGCTACAATATTGATAACAGGAGGGTGCTGCAGGATGCAGCCCCAACACGGCCCCAGCGTCTGCTGGCAGCAGGAGGCCCAAACTTGCACAAACAGCTCATCAAACCCCTTCGAAGGGAGAGGGAAAGTCAGCAGAAAAGGTGTGCTGGGCTGCACCCCAGAGCATGAGTAGCAGCACAGGGAGGGGATTCTCCCCCTCTGCTGTGCTCCAAGGAGACCCTAAAGCAGTTTCAGTGCCTAAGGGGGGGGGACGGGGGGTGATGACAAGAAACCTTGGAGAGGGGCTTTGGACAAGGGCCTGTGGGGACAGGACAAGGGGAATGGCTTTAACCTGCCAGAGGGGAGACTGAGATGAGCTCTTAGGCAGAAGCTCTTCCCTGTGAGGGGACTGTGGCTCTGGGAAGCTGTGGCTGCCCTATCCCTGGCAGTGTTCAAGGCCAGGTTGGACACAGGGGCTTGGAGCAACCTGCTCTAGGGGAGCAGGCTCCAGGGACCAGACAGGACAAAGACTGCTGGAACAGCCCTGAGAGGGGAGAGGACTCGTTCTGCCCAGCAGCTCCAACCTCCCAGGCAGCACCAGGAGCTGCTAAACCACTCTGGTCGTCCATTCAGCTCCAGGACTCCGGAGAGGCCTGGGGATTGTTAATGCAAGACTCAGTGCTGGTGTTCCCAAAGGCATTCCCAGTACTCTGGGCCTGGGAATTGTGCTTTAGGAGCCAACCCTTTAATTATAAACCAAAGCAGGTGCATGGGAACACAACTCCAGCAAGGTTTTGCCTACACAGATGGGAAAGCTCTGGAAGCACAGCTGGAATAGGTGCTTCCCAGGCAAGCACCCAACATCTTGCTGAACCCAGACAGAAGCAAAATATCCTCCCTAGGATGAAAAGACCATTTAAATCCCAGCACAAACACTTCCTGACGGGCACTGCTCCAGGCAGTGCAGCCAACACAGCTCCTCTGGCCTGCCTGAGATGCGCCTGCCCATTGTGGATAGCTTCGTGCCAACAGGCAGCACCGGACACGCAAGAGCTGCTGGGCTGGTTCTGCTGCTCCTGACCTTGCTTACCCTCATGCGCAAAGCACTGGCACCCTGCCCTGCACCTCAGAGTGGCTCACTGCAGCACAACCACTGTGCTCAGAGAAACCTGCCCTGCTGCCTGCACAGAACCTCTCCCACCTGCAGAGCCCATCTGAGCTCCAGTGCTGTCCCCTGAACACATGGACCTGTCCTGGTATGTCATGTCTCGGAGCCAGGTCCCATTCCAGGGGAGCAAGTCCTGGCAGTGCTGAGGGATGCTGTACCTCTGAGGTACCCCTGTCCCCAGGGTCTGAGCAACTGGTGGCTCCCCTCTAGCAGCCGCAGCACCCAGGGGAGCTGTTGTGGAGACCCCCAGGGATCCAGCCTGTCCCTCCAGCCCCCAGCATGCTCATAGTTGCACACTGCAGCTCCCCCCGACCCTCTCACACAAGCCATGAACATTCACAGCTGCAGCACAGCTCCAAAACACAGGAATACAAAAGCCAGAGGTGTTTCCAGAGGTTTCTGCTTCCTTCCTGCCACACTCACCCATTTGTAAGGAAGCGAGGCAAGAACTTCAGGGTCCACGCAGCAACAGGGCACACCTTCCTCCTCGTGGGGTTTACTGCAAGCTCAGGGCACACACTGTTATCTTCTGCCCCTCGCTGCTTCTATCCCAGCAGGAGCAATGCCTTGCTTCTAAAACCAACATCGCAGAGCATCACAACTTCACTGAAACTCCCAGATGCTCAGGAAATGACCACTGAATGCTCAGTGGGTTTAGTTCAGCCTTGCCTCTGCCTCCTGTAATCCCCTGGGTCCCATGGGGAGCCAGGCCAGAAGGTTCAGATACCTGCTCCGCAGTAACTGTTAAGAGCACTTTCTGGTTGGACACTAGTGGGGAAGTCACCATTTGCACCACTGCAGTTACAAAGGTTCAAACTTACATATTTCAGGTACTTTCCCTTTCCTGAGCACAGTGATGACTGCAAAGGATCCAGAAATGGTCTCCAGTGCTGTGAAGAGCTGCTACAGATTCACTGGTATAAATCTGGCTCTAGGTTAAAAATAAAACCTTATGAGAAACTGCTCCAGTGTCTGCATTTGGATGATGCTGGTATCAAGACTCATCTTCCTGTGGGCTTCCAGCTCTTTGTCTTATGTTATTTTAGCACTAAGTGCTTCCCCCTCCCTTAAATCCTTTGAGTCACAAGCCTGTCTGGGGTTGAAGCTCTAATGGAGCTCCTCACCCTCCGCCTGCAGGGTGATTCTTTTTAGACTGTGGTTGAAAAAGCATCAGTAGCTTCAATTTTATTTATTATTTCATCAAGTTCCAACTCAGAGCAAATCCTCACACCAGAGAGCGCTGTGATGCCACGACTCAAATACAAACCAGTGCTACAAGCACTGCCTGAAGCACAGTTCTTTGCTGAGAGCTCCCTGCTCCATCGCATGGTGGGAAGGAGGTTACACCCTGAGTGAAGTGGTCTCAGTTAACCATCAAGGACATGTCCCCGTGCAAAAGCAGTCTGGAACAAAAGCTGCAGCCTCATCTCTTGCCAGCCAGCCACCAGCTGCTGGAAGCTGACTGCTTTGTGATGGTCTGTTTTTCCTCCGGGCTGAAATGCAGGATGCTGAGGATGGCTGTGAGAGTCTGCTGCCGCCCCAGCGCGTCCGGCAGCGTCAGGAACCGGTACACAATGTTCTTGAGGTACTCCAGGTTGGCTCCTTCTCTGCTCTTATCCCTCAAGTTCTTCTCCATCTCACTTTGAAGTGCAGACACCTCTTCGCGGTGCTTTTCCTCCTCAACCAAGATCCTCTTCTGGAGGTGGTGAACTTGCATTTCCAGCTTGTGCTTCTGCTTCCTCAGGGCAACAATGTCCACTTCTTTGCGAGCCAGCTGCTCTGCGTACAAGATGAAGGTGGGCTCACTGGTGCTGGAGAGGTGAAGAGCCTGGGGGAGAATCTCTGAGGAATCACTGCCTGGGGAGTCATTGCAAGCACCATCTGACACGAGGTAGGTTTTGGACCCTTGACGCCCATAAGGCAGTGGGACAGCTCTCAGCTGCTCCAGCTCCTGGTCCTTTTCTGCCAGCACTGCCAGGGCTCGGTCCCGCTGTTTGTGCATCTCCTCCTCCAGCTTCAGTGCCCGCTCCCTGTAGTCCAGCTGGCACCTCTCTAACTCCTGCCTATGGATCTGCTGCAGCTGGGACAACTCTTGCTTCTTGGCTTCCATGTCCTGCTGGTGCTGCTTCTCCATTTCATCAGAGGCCAGCTGAAGCACAATGTATTTCTCTTTCAGGTCAGCCAGCTGCTCCTGAGCCTCCTCCAGGTCCTTAGACAAGTTGATGTCTTTGGTTGACTTGTTCTTGAGAACCACCTGTGCCCTCATCTTGTACCTCTCAAACTCTTCCTTGAGCTGCTTCAGCTCCTGCTGGTAGTACACAGCAGTGGCCTTCTCGCCATCCCCAGCCTCAGTGCCCTTTGGAGGCTCCAGCTCACACAGCTTCTCGATGTCCAGAGGGGTTTCACTCTTCTTAGCTGCTGCCTGCAAGAGCTTTTTCAGCTTTTCCATTTTATCCTTCAGAACATTAACATCCAGGTTGGCTTCTTCCACGTGAGCATCCCCAGGGGCTCGGCTGGAGGCAGCGATGGCCAGGGTTTTGTTCTCCAGGTCCAGCTGTACAATGCGGTCCTTCAGTTTCTGGATGATCAGCTGGTCCTTCTGCTTGGCTTTCTCATAGCTGCCAAGGAGTTCCGACACCTCAGAGACTTGGCCTTCCAGGTCAGCCACTCGCCTCTCCTCCATCTGGGCGTGCTGGCGGAGCTGCTCCTCTGCCTGTGCAGCCTGAGAGCAGAGGCATACACACAGCGCAGTTAGTTTTGCTCAATGCTCAAAGGTCTCTGCTTTACACCGGGGTTAATTCTGCTCTGCTGACCTCCAAACCAGCATGGGGCTGTGCTTTCCCCTAGAATTCCATACAAGCCACCAGCTGGACATTTATTTGGGGATATAATGAAGTCAAAGCACCTTTGCTTTTGTTCCCTGCTCTGCAGAGCTCCTGTCTTACATTACCCACGTTGCTGTAGGTGTGTGTGGGGGGGTGGGAAGCAGCAAGCTCACCTCACAGTGGCTAAAGGGATTGTTTTAAATGTGCGTATGCTCTGAAGCTCTCACACATCTCACTGCAATTCAGTTACATCCTGTGCTTTGTTGCACCGGTATTCATGTCATTCAGGTGTTTCTGAGCTACAGCAAACACACACAGTTCACACTTTGCTCAGATATTGAGTGCTCCGATAATGGCAGCATTTGGCAAACACCATCGCGAGCCAAACCACAGCCAGAGGTCAGGTCCCCTTCACCCAAACTGCATGAAACCAGCCTGATGCTTCAGATTAGGAAGAAGAAAACTTGGCCCAGAGTGCAAGGAGACGAGGAAGATCCTGTTCCAGAGTGTTTCCAGATGCAAATTCAGTTACTGGCCCCAAAGCTCCAGCGCCAACCCCTGAGCCCATCACCCCACAACCCACTGAGTTACACAGGTTCCTCTTTTCCACCACATCCCTCTTTCCATTCTAGCCCTTAGGCTCTAGACTGTGTGGATGGATGCAGGGGGAGTGTTCTCCTGCATTTACCTTCCTTCTTTCACTACAACCCCCTAAGTTTCTCTAAAGGGGGTCAGTTTTTATGAGCCCCCCTGATTGTACCTTGCACTGCACTGAGATGAGACCACACTCACTGCCACACTGGGGCAGAGGGAAGGTCTCTCCTACCAAGCCACTCTCACACCGGATTGTAACTGGTACAGAACCACACGACACCCTGGAGGACAGACACCATGTAATCGCCTCAAAGGGTGCTCCCAAGCCCAGTGCTCACCACCCCCTGGTTAATGCCTTATGTGCTGTAACACAAACAGTTTTGATTTTCCTCCAGGATTATCACCTAATTCAAACCTCTTGGGCTCTGAGGGACTGGGAGGGGGCATCTCAACTCCTCAAGCCCCAAAGCGGCCCCAATCACACTGAGAGTGAGCAGCTCCAGGACCCATACAAGGAACTACCTTTTTCATCTCCCGCAGCAGCTGCACTTGGAAGTGGTTCTTGAGGCTAGCCATCTCCTCCTGCAGACCCTGTATCCGCGGGTCTGGCTTCTTGTTCTCCTCCTGAGCATCCTGCAGCTCCCTCTTCAGGTCCTCCACCTCCTGGCTCAGCTGCTTGATCTGCAGCTCGTAGCCCTCTGCTCGCTCAGCCACGCAGGCTCTCCGAGCCAGCATCTCCCTGGTCTCCTCCAGCTTCAGCTCAGCATCCTGGCGTGAAGCCCTCTCACTCTGCAGCAGCTTCTGCAGCTCCCGCAGCATAATAGCGTGGTCACTCTGCTCCTGGGCCCTGTCGTGCTGCTGGGTGATCAGACGGGCTTTGGTCTCAGCCAGCTGCTCCTGGACACACTTCAGCTCTGCCTCCAGCTTCTCAGTCTCATCCTCTGCTTTCTTAGCAGCATCATCCAGGTCCTGCTTCATCTTCCTCTTTTCCGCTTGGTAGGAGGCTTCCATGCGGGACTTCTCCTGTGTGACTGTTGCCAGAGCACTGGTCAGGGTGGCCAGTTGGGTCTTCAGTAGCAGAACTCTTTTGTCAGCCTCACTGGCAGCAGATGGTACATCCCCACTGCTCGTGCTCATGCCGCTCTCTGAACCACTCGTCTCCTCTGATTTAACAGAGGAAGAAGCAGCAGCCACGAGCTTATCATCCTCAGGCCCTGCTTCACCCTTAGTACTGGCCAGGCTGGCAGCAGTGTCTGCACTGGCAGCTGTCCCCACGCTATCTTCACTGTGAACAGAGCTCTTGTCATCAGCACAATCGGCAAAGGAAGAGCTGGAGCTGACCACAGACATAGGCTGAGCACCACTCAACCCAGCATCTGCCTTGTGAGATACAGACAACACTTTCAAGCTGGCTTCCAAGGCCTCCTTCTCCTTGAGCAGACTCTTGTAGGCTCTGACAACATCCTTCAGCCGAACCTGGTACTGAAGCAGCTGCTTCTTCTGTGATTCAATAGTCTCTAGAAGATCTTTCTTACTTGGGCCACCTCCAAAGTTCATGCCAAACCGCTCCATGATTCATCCAAGCTGGAAGGAGTAGAACAACACAAAGCCTGAACAAGCAGCAAAGACACATCTTTCTTCCCTGTGAGGGTGCTGAGGCACTGGCACAGGGTGCCCAGAGAAGCTGTGGCTGCTCCATCCCTGGCAGTGTTCAAGGCCAGGTTGGACACAGGGCCTTTGAGCAACCTGCTCTAGTGGAAGGTGCCCCTGCCTGTGGCAGGGGATTGGAGCTGGAGAAGCTTTAAGGTCCCTTCTACCCAAACTGGTCTGGGATTCTATGATCAGCAGGAGCATGTGGTGAAGCAGGACCAGCACCCTGAACACCCAAGAACCCCCCACAGGGGGGTAACAAAACTGGAATACCTCCGTCACCATGCACCAAACCCTGCCAAGCACCCACGTTCGGAGGGGAAATGTGCTGCTGCTACACCTCAGGTGCTTCAAGCTCCCCAGGAAGACCCAACACTTTAATACCCCCCTCATACAGCAGCATCTGCCAGGGCAGCCACCCCCCCTCAGGTCGGTCAGGGGGAGTTACCTCTATAAACAGCTCTTACTGTATTCTGCAAGAGTAACAGTTCCTTGCCCTGTCCCTGGGCAGCACCACTGCTTGTCTGGAAGTAATTCAACCACTATCAGTGCTCAGGGGGTACATCCAGTCCCCACAACAAAAGGCCATGGGGGACAGGGGGTGTCCACTGCAGAGAACCTGCCATGGAGGGGTGGCGGGGGGGGGGTGTCAGCACTGGAGAAGTCACAGAAGCCCAGATTGGTTTGGGTTGGAAGGGATCTTAAAGCTCCTCCAGCTCCAACCCTTGCCACGGGCAGGGACACCTCCTTCCACTAGAGCAGGTTGCTCCAAGCCCCTGTGTCCAACCTGGCCTTGAACACTGCCAGGGATGGGGCAGCCACAGCTTCTGTGGGCACCCTGTGCCGGAGCCTCACGGGAGGGGGTTAGGGGCTGGTGGGACAGGGCGTCGGGGGAAGGGGGGGGTCAAGCTGCGGGGCAGGACTGCGGTAGCCACCGAGGTGAAGGGGCTGCGGTGCAACAGGAGAGGGGCCGCAGGGCTGGAGCAGAGAGGCCGCGGAGGGCACGAAACACGGTAGGGCCGTAGCGGAGAGGGCGGGGAGCGGGGACTAGGAGGCCCATGGCGGTTGGAGGGCCCGTGGGGAAGGCCCATGGGCAGTGCGGAGGCCCGTGGGGGAGGCCGGGGTGACGGGGCTGTCTCCACGGCAACCCGCCGGTCCCCTCGGTGCTTACCTTCAGCCCGCAGCCTCCGCGCATGCACTGAACGCCGCCACACGGCTTCCGCCGAACGCCGCTGCACGCACCCCGCATGCGCCTCCGCGCAGCACCGGCAGAGCAGCCAGCCGCGTTTGGAGGGTGGCCAAAAGACCGGGGCTTGACAGCGGGGCGGGGCGATGAGGGAACAATGAGGGAGGGGGGCGTGGCCTGTCCGTGAGGGGCGTGGCCTGGCAGCGCAGGGAGCCGCGGTGGTGCCGCTGCGGGGGGCGGGGCCTGATGCGCGGGGGGCGGGGCCTCCGCAGAGCGGAGGCAGCTGGAGGCAGCGCGGCCGCCCCGTCCCGTCCCGTTCGGTCCCGTTCACCCCCCCCGTCCCCCCGTCCCTCCCGCCGCCGCCATGGGCCTCACGGTCTCCGCTATCTTCTCCCGCATCTTCGGCAAGAAGCAGATGCGGATCCTGATGGGTGAGCGCGGGGGCAGCGGAGCAAGGCCGGGAGGGGGAGGGGGATGGGGATGGGGATGGTGATGGCGATGGGGCACATACCGGTACCGGCGCCGCTGACACCGCCTCCTCCTTGCAGTGGGGCTGGACGCCGCCGGCAAGACCACGATCCTCTATAAACTGAAGCTGGGTGAGATCGTCACCACCATCCCCACCATCGGTGAGTAGCCCGGCACTGCGCAGGGCCCCCGTCGAGCATCGGGTACCGGGCAGAGCTCCCCATCGAGCACTGGGTACCGGAGAGGTTTCCCACTGAGCACTGGCTTCCAGAGAGGGCCCCCATCGAGCACTGGGTACCAGGCAGCTGCATCTCCCTTAGAGGTGGATTGGGAATGGGCTGAGCTGCTGGGTCAGCGAGGGTGGTCACCTGTGGTGAAACGCATTGGCCAGTGCCCCTGCACAAGGAATCATGGAATGGTTTGAGTAAGAAGAGACTTTAAAGCTCCTCCAGTTCCAAGCCCCTGCCACGGGCAGGGACACCTTCCACTAGAGCAGGTTGCTCCAAGCCCCTGTGTCCAACCTGGCCTTGAACACTGCCAGGGATGGGGCAGCCACAGCTTCTCTGGACACCCTGTGCCAGCGCCTCAGCACCCTCACAGGGAAGCACTTCTGTCATATTGCATCTTCATAAGTAACCTAGGTGATGGGGGGATAGCACCCATGGCAAGATGTGGGTGATCGTGGGCTAAGAGGACTGGTGGCACACCAGAAGTTCATGCTGCCGTCAATGGGACATGGGCAGAGTGGAGAAATGGGCAGAGAAACCTCATGGAGTGTATCCAAGTCCTGCTCTTGGAGATGAACACCCCCAGGCCCTGCTACTGGCTGTGGAGCAGCTCTGGAGAGAAGGTCCTGGCAGTCGTGGTGGGAAGGAACCTGAGAAAGCACCAGGTGTGGGTGCCTATGGCTTTGGGCAACCAGAGTCTGGGCTGCGCCGAGTGGAGCACTGAGAGCGGGTCGAGAGAGGAGCTCCTGCCCCTCTGCTCAGCTCTGCTGAGACACTCCGAGGTGCTGGGTCTGGTGCTGGGCACCAGTGCAGGAGGGATGGGGACATGCTGGAGTGAGTCCAGTGCAGGGCCATGGTGATGGTGAAGGGGCTGGAGCATCCCTTGTGAGAGGAGAGGCAGGGAGAGGTGGGATGCTGAGCCTGGAGAGGTGGCTGGGGGGACCACATCCATGTGTGTAAATGTGTAAATCCCTCGTGGAGGGAGTAAAGAGGATGCATCCAGGCCCCTCTCAGAGGAAGGTGAGCACCTTCTCTCCGTGTCCCCCCTCAGGGTTCAACGTGGAGACAGTGGAATACAAGAACATTTGCTTCACCGTTTGGGACGTTGGTGGCCAGGACAAAATCCGGCCCCTCTGGAGGCACTACTTCCAGAATACACAGGTACGTGGATGGCGTGGACAGGAATAAGCTCCCTCAGTTGCAGCAGGGCTGGTCCAGGATCCCTGAGACCTTATCCTGCCTGGATGAGGGGTGAGCAGGGAATTCATCCCAGTCCCCGGTGTGGTGACCCCACTGGCAGCACTGGGGTGGCACATGGGTGTGTGGCCCATTGCCCCATCAGAGGGGAGTGAGGCAGAGGGGTCCGATGAGGGGCCAGCATCTTCCCCAGGTGGGGGGGGGGGGGGGGTGTTTGAGGGGGCAGCAGGGCTGCCCTTTCCCTCGGTCAAGAGGTGCTTTCTGCCCACCTGGGATGTCCCCATCTCCTTCATACAAGCTGCCAGCTCCAGTCTAGCTTCTCCCACAGGGTCTCATCTTCGTGGTGGACAGCAATGACCGTGAGCGAGTGCAGGAGTCTGCTGAGGAGCTGCAGAAGATGGTGAGTGATGGGGGGAGATCCGCTCTGGCAGGGGATGGGTGTCCCTCACCCTCCCCCTGCTCACCCAGCCCTGCAGCAACATCCAGGTTGGTGTGAGATGAGACCTGGCTCAACACAGAGCTCGGGGTGTCCCATGTGGAGACAGGGAGACATTTAATCCTTGGTGTGGCTCCCTCAGGGGGCAGAGCATCCTTGGGATGGGAAGCTGGGACACAGCAGAGTGACAGAGCCTGTGAGCAGGGAGGAGAAATCATGTCCACTCTCCTGTGCTATCCCCATGGTGGTCATTGTGCCCCCCACCCCTTGCAGCCCCACACCCCAACACCACCATCCCCTCTGTAAATGCCGTGGGTGCTCCTGGAAAAGCATCTCGATGCCACCAAGACCTCCAGGCAACGATGGGAGCAGGAAGGGAGCCAAGACACCAGAGCTGGAGACCCCCCTGGCTCTTTGGCCCTGTCCAGGCTGGGTCTCACTTGCCAGGGTGCTGAGGCTCACCAAAGGCTCACTAAGAGCTCAGCGTCCCTGCTCCCTCCGCAGCTGCAGGAGGACGAGCTGCGGGATGCCGTTTTGCTGGTGTTTGCCAACAAGCAGGACATGCCCAACGCCATGGCCGTGAGCGAGCTGACTGACAAGCTGGGGTTGCAAGCGCTGCGCAGCAGGACCGTGAGTGCCGGGGGTGCCATCCCCATCCCTATGGGATGGACCCGTGGGGCTGCTTCTGGGTGACCTGCAGAGCCCAGAGCTCTCCATTCCCTCTTTTGCAGTGGTACGTGCAGGCCACGTGTGCCACGCAGGGCACGGGGCTTTACGATGGGCTGGACTGGCTCTCGCACGAGCTCTCCAAGCGCTAGCAGGGCCGGTGGCACAGGGACCAGAGGAGCTGGGGACATCTCTTCCAACTGCTCTTTCCCTTGGTTTCTCTTGGGGTTTATTATTTGGGGGGGGTTGTTTTTCTGTTCTCCCCAGAATGGCCTCGTGTCTCTGTGTTTATGGGGTAGGACTTGAAGCTCAAGGACTCTTGGGGCAGCCAAGATTGCGGTGATGCCCTGCCCTGGCCCCAGCAGCACTGCATGCTGGCCGCCCTCCCCACCTGCATGTGCTGTCTGTGAGAGCTTGCCCGCACCTACTGCGGTGACGTGTCCCCAAGTGTCCCTGAGCCTCGCCCAGAGCTGGGGCTGGGGCCTGAGACGGGCTGGAGGCAGCAGGAAGGATCCTTCCTTTGGTAACTCCAGTTCTCTTTCTCCTGGGGAGGGCTGTGGCTGCTGTTGTACATCGATCATTAAACACCACCACTTTGTACCCTGTGCCCGGCCTGTTTCTGACTGCCTCCAGGGAAAAGAATCATGGAATGGTTTGGGTTAGAAGGGACTTTAAAGCTCCTCCAGTATCAACCCTTGCCATGGGCAGGGACACCTTCCACTAGAGCAGGTTGCTCCAAGCCCCTGTGTCCAACCTGGCCTTGAACACTGCCAGGGATGGGGCAGCCACAGCTTCTCTGGGCAACCTGTTCTAAAGGCCTCACCATGATCACAGCAGCCTCAAGCCTCAAAAACCACCTTGCAGCAGGGGACAAGGTGATGCCGGTGCCTTCGCTCACTGGCACAGCTCCTGAGGGATGGTTAATCCCTGTGAGGTGGGTGATGCTTCATGGTGATGGTGGAAGACCTTCACCCATCACCTCCCATTGCCAGGCACCCTCTGCTGGGTCGTGGAGGGTCCTGTTGCAGTGGGGACAGCTTTGTGCTGCCATAGAATCAATTGGGTTGGAAAAGCCCTTTAAGCTCATCCAGTCCAACCCTTCCCAGCACTGCCAAGGCCACCACTAACCCATGGCACTGAGGCCTCAGCTGCACGGTGTGTGAACACTTGCAGGGATGGTGACTCCAGCACTGCCCTGGGCAGCCTGTTCCAGTGCCTGAGCACCCTTTGGAGAAGGAATTGTTCCTCATCTCCATCTAAACCTGCCCTGGTGCAGCTTGAGGCCATTTCCTCTTGTCCCATCCCTTGTTCCTTGGGAGCAGAGCCCAGCCCCTCCTGGCTCCATCCTCCTCTCAGGCAGTTGTAGGGAGCGATGAGGTCCCCCCCTCCTTGGGGACAACCAAGAGCAGTCCTGGGGGGACTCAGCTGCATGTCCACCATACACAGCCCCCTGCACCCACAGCAGGGTGCGCTGTGGGGCTGCAGCCCCTCACCCTGCTCTCAGACAGCGGGGGAACAAAAGCCACTCTCTGTGTGTAATGTACTGCCCCGTTTAGCACCAGTTCCTCCAGCCTGGCCTGGCCGGGCTGAGGTGAAGTGCCCCAGAAATGCCAGCTCTGAGCCCATGGGGTGTCCGTTTGGCACCAACCATTGTGGCATCCGAGCCAGCAGCCCTGCACATGCCATTGTGCCCCTTCCAGCCCTGCCAGTTCCCCATGGCCCCGGTCACTGGTGGGTTCCTGCCTGCTCCCAAGCCCCTCTCTTCAAGGACACGTCCCCTTGGCCACTAAGGGTCAACTCATGGCACCTCAGACCTGCTCCACAAACAAGGTCCTGCTCCATGTGAATGGTGCATCAGTTGCAGCGTCCCACACTGGACAACGGCCCTTCTGAGGTCTGTCATGCTGGGTCCAACAACTCCATTATAAATGCTTTTGAAGGGGTAGGAATGAAATCCTGGCTCCACTGACAAGTGATGCCATGGGGCTGAGTGCTGCTAACTGCAGCAGCCTGAATCCTGCAGCCCCTCAATAATGCACCAAACCTGGCCAAGCCGCTCCATGTTTCTGGAATGAAAAGAGCTACATCCAGCTCTGGTGCAGCAGCACAAGAGGGATGTGGAGCTGTTGGAGAGAGGCCAGAGGAGGCCATGGAGCTGCAGCGAGAGCTGAAGCAGCTCTGCTCTGGAGCCAGGCTGAGAGAGCTGGGCTGGTTCAGCCTGGAGAAAAGAAGGCTCCTTAAGGAGAGACCTTAGAGCAGCTCCAGTGCCTAAAGGGGCTGCAGAAAACCTGGAGCGGGGCTTGGGACAAGGGCCTGTAGGGATAGGCCAAGGGGAATGGCTTTAACCTGCCAGAGGGGAGACTGAGATGAGCTCTTAGGCAGAAGTTCTTTCCTGTGAGGATGCTGAGGCGCTGGCACAGGGTGCCCAGAGAAGCTGTGGCTGCCCCATCCCTGGCAGTGTTCAAGGCCAGGTTGGACACAGGGGCTTGGAGCAACCTGCTCTAGTGGAAGGTGTCCCTGTCTGTGGCAGGGGGTTGGAACTGGAGGAGCTTTAAGGTCCCTCGCAGTACAAACCAGTCTGGGATTCTGTGGTTCTATGAAGTAAACCCATTTCTCCAGCCTGCATCAATGTTCTGTGCCAGTGACGAGCACCTTTACCCTGGCTCCCCAGGAAACTCAACTTCAAAACAAACAGAAACCCAAAACTATTTATTTAGATCAAGGATCCCCCATGCAGCTGGGACCTGCCCCTCTGCAAGCTCTCAAGTCAGGGTGGGGGGACCAGCGGATGGAGGGATGCTGACAGGGGGATGCAGCAATGATCAGCCTCTTCTCCCAGGGTACAGGGGATGGGATAAAAGGAAACGGCCTCAAGCTGCACCAGGGCAGGTTTAGATGGAGATGAGGAACAATTCCTTCCCCAAAGGGTGCTCAGGCACTGGAACAGGCTGCCCAGGGCAGTGCTGGAGTCACCGTCCCTGCAAGTGTTCACACACCATGTAGCCGAGGCCTCAGTGCCATGGGTTAGTGGTGGCCTTGGCAGTGCTGGGGAATGGTTGGACTGGATGAGGTTAAAGGGCTTTTACAACCTGGTTGGTTCTGTGATTCTATTCTAAGAAGTGGGGCAGAGACACCGTGCACCCTTGTGCAGTGTCCTGGGGCAGAGGCAAAGCACTGGGATGGTGACATGCTCCAGCATGATGAGGGGGTCCCCAAGGTGCTCAGCTCCCACAGACTGACCCAAACCACAGACCCATAACCTGAGCCTGTCCAGCACAGAAGGACGCTTTCCCCCAGCACCCACCCCTTTGCCCCTCTGGACCTGGGGTCTGAGCTCCTGGAGGTCTGAGTCCTGGCTTGCAGGGGGCAGGGAATGAGCTGATGGTGGCCCTGCTGTCACCCATGCACACCCATCCAGGGACACCCTGCACTCACTGTCCTGCAGCCCCCATCCTGCTGGGGACCCTTAGAGCCAGGGACACCCCAGTGCATGGAGCTGGGCACAGGGCTCCGGTGAGCCGGGGCACAGTGGTGGCACAGGGGGGCTCAGTGGGGGTCCAGGCAGGAGGCAGGCACCGGGGTGCAGTGGAGCCTGGGGGGACAACAGGGGAAAGGAGGGACCTTCCGTGGGCTGCCAGTGAGCGGGAGCAGGGCTGATGCCCGGAGCCAGACCTGCGGGATGAAAATGGGGTTCAGGCAGGGTGTGGGGCTGGGCAGCATCCCCTCAGCCCCATTCCACTCCCTGTGGAACCCCCAGCCCAGAGCAGCCACCCCACATTGCAAGAGGGAGGGGTGGACCCGCCTCCCACACCCCCCAGCACCCCATGGGGTCCTGCATCCTCACACCAGCTCCCACTCTGTGGCCGGGGGTGCCAGCCCCATTCCCAGGCCTTTTACCACAGCAAGTGTCATCCCATGTGCCAGAGGTGCGGAGGTGCAGTGGGGCAGGGGGGCCAGGGTGGCTGATGGGGCCATGGCCTTGGAGGGGCTGTGATGAGCCCATGGGGGTGTCCGGGAGGTGCTGTGTGAGGAGCAGAGAGCAGGATGTCACAGAGCATCCACAGGGATGCTTTAGGACCAGGCCATCCCAGAGGGAACCAGCAAAGTGTCACCCTCCAGCCTGGCTCCAGGAATGCTCCCTGGGATAGGCAGCACCCAGAAAGCTCAGTGTAGCTGGGCAATGGGAATGTGGGCTCCAGAGGGTGCCCAGAGCCTGCTGGGTGCTGTTGGGGACTCCCCATCACCAGATGGAGGGAAGGGACCCCGGCCATGTCCTACCTGTGCAGAGCTAGTGGCTGTTGGGGATACGGGGTGGAAAGCAGCCATGGATACCCCATGGAGCAGGATCCAGTGGCACCAGGAGCCTGCAGGGGAGAGGCAGGGAGGGCAGTGCTGGTTCAGGAACCATGCAGGACCCAGACCTGGTTTTGGCTGGGGAAAGCCAGGGATGAAGCTTTCCTGCCTAGGGGTAGCACATTCCCACTGGATGGATGCAGGCAGGCATCACCCCATGCCATAGGCGATGGTCTGGTGAGCTGCCAGGGGCCATCCTGGCCACGGGACTGGAGCTGCCATTCACCAGGGGCACAGAGATTGGCTGTGTCCTCTCCCCTGCTCCCACAGGGCTCTGGAGCTGGGACGCAAACCCAGTCCTCCTGGTGCCCAGTGCCAAATCTCAGTGGGGTGGCCCCTGGACCCCAGCCCCATTCTTGGGCATCAGATCCCCAAGTCCTGTCCCCATTGCTCTGGGCTGTCACCTGTGGCTCCTGCCTCCAGCTCCTGCTTGGCTTCCCGCCTCCACTTCGCTCGCCGGTTGGAGAACCAGACCTGGGGAGGACAGAGGAGGACGAGGCTGCAGCATTCCCCCAGTGGCACACCCCTGAGAGACCAACCCAGCAGCACCCGCACCCTGGCCCCACTCCAGCTCCTTGGCACAGCTCTTCATCCCAGAACAAGGGCTCTTTGCACACCAATGAGCGTGGGGATGGGGATGGGGATGGACATAGTGATGGACATGGGGATGAGCATGTCATGGGCATGGGAAGGGTATGGGGTGGGGTGGCAATGGGCATGGGATGGGCATGAGCATGGCATGGGAATGGGCATGGGATGGGCATGGCTGTGAGCAGAGGAAGGGGCTCGATCCCTCATCTTCTCCACTTCAGCATGCTACAAGCACATTCCAGGCTCCAGGAGATTCTTCAGCGCAGGGCATGGGAAAAGTGTGGATGCACATGTGTGCGTGTGCACCACCATGGTGTGGGGTGACCACATGGATGGCGAAGGTTTGCCAACAGCAATGGGATGTCTGCCTGGATCAGAGTGTGCCCTGGATGCATGCGTGAGGGGGCTGTGTCATGGAGTCTGCCATGGAGGGATAGCAGAAGCAGGGAATGCGGCTGGAGCAGTGGCCGCATTGGGATGGGACATGCAGCATCATCCCCCTCAGAGGCACTGGGCACAGGGGCTGCGTTGGTCACCAGGACCAGATGGTCCAGCTGCAGAATGGCTTTATGAGGGTCTCCTCTCACCTTGATGGTTGTGTCTGGGAGCTGGGTGGCCGCAGCCAGTCTCTGCCGGGTGTCGGTGTCTGGGTATTGTCCCCTCTGAAACTCTGCAAGGGGAATTGGGGTGGGATGAGCCTGTCCAGAGTAGCAGCTGCCAGTGCTGTGGCACATGATCCAGCCGGTCCATCACCAGCAATTCAGAGTGGTTTGGAGCACCACAGCAATGGCCACGCTACTCAGAGGGGCAGAAGCCCATCCAGAACATGTCAATGCCCTCCCATGGGCATAGCCCCACTCCATCCCGGCGCTCTGTGCACCCCGGGGCTGGCACACTGAATGCCACAGCCCCTGGTGTCCCATGCCATGTCCCACCTCTCTCCAGGGCCTCTGCTTGCTGCCTGGAGAAGACCGTCCTGTTCTTGTGCTGGGTGCTTGGTGGGAGCTGCCGGGGCGGGTGCTGGGTCCCCAGGGAGCCGGTGGCAGCAGCTTCAGTGGGTGAGCAGCATCCTGGGGGATGTGGGGCAGGGGGGGCAGCGAGAGGGGACACTGTGGGGACCACAGGGAGAACGTGGCGGGGACCTGGCCCTGAGGAGGGTCCATGGACCCCTTTGAGCTGGGGCACAGGGTCAGTGCAGGAGCATGATGAGGAGCACATGTGAGGCTGGGGGTGGCAGGAGCTCTCTGCCCGCCTGGAGCAGGTCTGTCCTGTGGGGTGCCCCCCCCCATCCCCTGCACCCCAGTGGTGCTCACCCCATGGCAGCGTGTCCCTCGCAGAGCCCAGCTGAGCCGCCAGCCGCAGGTCACTGGGCAGCTTCCTCAGCACCCGATTGATGGAGGAGACCTGGGCAGGGGAGACGGGGCTGTGCCATGGGCAGGGTGTGCTGGGAGAAGCCCCTGTCGCAGTGGGCATCACTCTGCTCCCTGCAGGAGCTGGGACAGGCTCAGGCAACACCAAGCCTGGAGGGATAAGGCTGATGCCCCAAAGCTCATCCCAGAGGCGCTCAGCCACAGCCACACCTGAGCACGTGCCAGGGGTTCTCCATCTGCTCAGCTCTTTGTTGATACAGGCAACCCATTCATTTCAGTGCACTTACAGCATCCAATGTGAGGCAGCCTGCATCTCAGGCTGGAGACAGTGGGATTTATAGGACTGGGTCTGGCATTAGGAAGTGCAGCTCAATAGGACAAGAGGAAACGGCCTCAAGCTGCACCAGGGCAGGTTTAGATGGAGATGAGGAACAATTCCTTCCCCAAAGGGTGCTCAGGCACTGGAACAGGCTGCCCAGGGCAGTGCTGGAGTCACCATCCCTGCAAGTGTTCACACACCGTGTAGCTGAGGCGTCAGTGCCATGGGTTAGTGATGGCCTTGGCAGTGCTGGGAATGGTTGGACTGGATGAGCTTAAAGGGCTTTTCCAACCCAGTTTATCCCATGATTCTCTGATTCTCTCTGCTCTGATGCTGCAGATCACATCTTATTGCCTCTGCTGACCAGTGGCACATGGAGCAGCCCCACCTCAGGGTCTCCATGCCCAAGATCATGGCCAAGTTCACTGGGGGTGGCTGGTGGGGCTCTGCTTTAGTGGGAGGGAATGATTTGCTTCCCCTCCCTGCCTACTCCTCCCTCCACCATCCCGCCCTTCCCTGCACAGCCTTCCCGTCCTTCCCAGGACTCACGCTGGGGATCCTGTTGCTGGTGCAGGTGCCCTCAGCATGGAGCTGCCTGCGGATCTCCCAGGCAAACAGGGAAGGCTGCTCCAGCTTCATCTGGGCAATCCTGGCCACCACCTTGGGTGTGGCCATGCGGGGCTTGCTGCCCCCCATAGCTTTGGGCCCCACGGCCCCTGTCCTGTAGTAGTGACCCAAGATCTTGCTGACGCAGCCGTTGGACACCTGCAGATGGGATGGATGGGGCAGAGGCTCAGCAGGAAATGGATTTGGAGAAGGAGATCCCCCCACTCCCAGAGGCTCCCACCTTGAGGCTGCGGGAGATGTCGGAGCTCCGGATGCCACACGCCGCCAGCTCAATGATCCGCCTCCTCTTGCAGGCAGGGAGGGGGCGGCCGCTCAGGAAGAGCCCCCCCAGTTGGTTCACACCGCTGGGCCCTAGGGGTGGCCGAGCAGGAGACAGGGACAGAGCTTGTTGGGGGTGGGAGGGGAGGGGATGGTGCTGGCTCTTCCCAGCCTGGCTCCCAGGAGAGCACCAGGGTGAAGGGTGGTGACATAGGGGACCTCTGGGGACTGATGGGGATTGGGAAGGGAGGGGGCATTGGAAGGGGCTGGGAAGGAGGGTTTGGAGCTTGGAGCAATGTGGGGCTTGTTGGCTGGGGTGCGGGTGCAGGCATCGTGTGGCAGGAGCAGGCAGGGAATGGGGGTATTCATCAAGTGATGCTGAAGGGATACCCCATGGAGGAGCAGGGGGAGGAGGAGAGGCTGCAGGGGAAGGCAGCTGCAACGGGGGTGATGGGCTGGAATGGGCAGGGAAGCACTGGACATCATTGGGATGGCCTGACAGCTCTGGGGTGCTGCAGTGTATCAGCTACCAGCACGCAGTGCAGGCTTTGGGGGGGGAAAGCAGCCTCATTTGTGATGGGGCAAGGGCTGACACAGAACATCCCCAGTTTCCTGAGGACCATGGACACAGGGACCATGCTTGGGGTGCAGCTGCATCCCTCACCTCGGTGTTGCATCGTGGTGAGGCTCCACAAGGGCTTTGGGTGGCTGGGAATTGCAGAGAGGAGATGGTGGCTGTTAGGAGGAAGGATCAATCAGTGGCAGTGGCCAGGGCTCAGCCACATCCCCTCGTTACCCTCCTGCAAGGAGAAAGGGCAGCAAGGGCAGAAACCCTCAGCAGAGGATGGAAACACTTGAGGGCGTCTGAATGCTTGGAAAATCATTGCTTTCCAGGCACAGGGGATCAAAGGGACCTGGATTTAAATTGCTCACAGGGCTGCAAAAGGCACTTGGGCTCTGAAGTGGCTGGGAGATGCTGGGATGCTGGAGAGAGATGCCAGGAGAGATGGGCTGGTGACAACCAGGATACCAGGAGCCTCCAGTCCTTCAGCTGGAGATGCTCTGCCCCTTCCTTTGCCAGAAAAGCAAGGCAAAGCAGCCTTGATCTTGCCCCACATGGTGGGGACACACTCCCAAAGTTCCTGCCCTTTCCCATCCCCAGCCCTTCTCTCTGCCCCCTAGCACCTTCCCTCGCCCCAGAGCCTGACCTAAAGCAGCCCCATGGATGTAGTGGGTCCTGCTCCAGTGGAGGTGTCCCTGCCTGTGGCAGCGGTTTGGAACTGGAGGAGCTTTAATGTCCCTTCCACCCAAACCATGCTATGGGGGACACAGAGCAATTCCTGCTCCAGCAGCCTGTCTGCTCCTCAGCTACCCCAGGATTTCACTTGAAACACCCTATAAACTCCTGGACACCCCAAAGGGGGCTTGTCCCGCTCCAGCTCCCAAATCCCACTGCAGCCATGGTGCTGCTTCCCTTCAACAGCTTGAGTGAGTGCCTGAGGACACTCACCTTGGCTGTGAGAGTCAAGAAAAGCAAGATCCATCCTTCCTTGTCCATCAACAGGACAAGTGGGCAGATTTCCCACAGATGGAAAGAAACCAAATCTTCCTCTTGTTCGGAAATGAATGGATCATCCTGGAACAAAGCAACCGAGGCTGCTCCAGGAAGGAAGGAACAAGCAGCACGGGCACAGCCTCCAGCAGTGGTCCCCAGCTTTGTTCCCAGCCAAGGGCTTGGCTCGTGCTATGCCAGGAGGTGACACGGGGATTTCTTTCTACATGGAAAAACAGGTGCACTGGGAATGTCGAGCCGGGAGCCCACTGTCCCCCTTGGTCCGGCTGAGGGACCTTGGAGAGGGGCTGAGCTGGGCGTTTGTGCACATAGGGGTGAAGAGAGAAATAAACGAAATGGGGCTTGATCAGGCTGGTGCAGAGCAAACCATTCCTGGAGAACCCAAAGCTTTCTCCATATTAAGGCACCTTCACCACCCAAATCCTACTGGGAATTGCTTCCCACACAGGGTAAGAAGTCACAACCACCCCAAGCAGCCCTCCCATGCCCGAGCTTGCCCTGTGCTACCCTCCATGTTCATACAAGCATGAGTGTGTGCACACGCATCCACACACATCCAAGTGCTTCTGCATGTATGGACACACACACACATGCATGTGCTCCTTTCTCCCCATGCCCAGCTGCGCACACATGAGCACACACTTTTACACGCATCCATGCCACCATCTGCACATACACGTGTGTGTATGTGTGCACAGGTGACTACGGCTGAGCGCAGGGATGCCCGGAGGGATGCAGGGAGGTACCTGTGGAGCTGAACCGGATCGTCCTCGGAGCCAGCCAGGTGCTGCCGAGCCGGTGCCGTGCGAGGCGGCTGCTGAAGGAGCGGGACCGTGATGTCACGGGGTAGGAGGAAGAGGAGGATGGGGAGGAGGGGACGGCCCGATGGTGACCGGGCGGCCGCGCCCAGCACACGCCCGGCCCGGGCTGCTCCGTCGGTGGCCGGGCCTGGTGGCTCCGAGACCCACCGAACCCCCCTGGACCGGACAGTGGGTGGGTACCGGTGCTACCGGCGGCGTTTCAGCACCGGCGCCCGGTGGACAGCGCGGCCCCCGCTGCATCCCCGGTAACCCCCGGCGGAGCCTCCCTGGGCTCCAGAGAGCCCCTCAGAGCAAACAGGGGCAGGCAGAGCTGCCATATGGGCAAGCGCTTGGTATTCGCTCATAAGCCCATATTCGGGGCTACAGCATGTATTTACTTTATTGTTTTAGGGGGGTGCTCTGCGTTTTGGGGAGTATTGGACAAACACTGGGGCGGCCGGGGATGGCGGGACCAGCGGGGACATGCCGGTGCGCAGATGGCCCTTTTCTTAGGAGATAAAAACGTAAAATAAACCACGTTGTAAATGTTTCAAAGTAAAATATTTGAAGAGCAAATATTGGCCCGAGAGGAGCCCGGAGCCCCGGCCCTCCGCGCCCGGCCCCGGGTGTCACCGAGCGTTATTAGCACCCCGGTCCCGGCCCCCCGCTCCTCGCACCGCCGCCCGCCTTTGTAAAATGCCATATGCTCCGAATTACACATTAACCACAGCCTCGCAGGGCCCGGACCCGGTCCCGGCCCCCGGGAGCCGCCGCGCCGCCTCCCCGCTCCCCGCTGTGTCCCCCCGCATCCCGCCCCGGGGCTGCCCGTGAGGCTCCCGACAGAGCGCGGAGAGCTGTAAGCCGGGCCCGGACCCCCTCCAGCTCCGCCCCGGCCGCCAGGAGCCCCGGCGGAGCCCCCGCACCGGGGGAGCCCCGTGCGTAACGCAGCGCCGGGCGGCGGGGAGCGGGGCGCGGGGCTGAGCCCCGGGGCGGGGAGGGCCCGGCAGCCGTGGGTCGGTCCCGCCGCTCCCCCCACAGCTGGTGGGGGGCCGGGGGCAGCGGGCGGTCCCGGGAGCGGCTAGCGCGGTCCCCAGGGGCTGTGCGAACCGGGCCGGGCGCGCCGGCGGCTTGCGGGGAGCGGCGCTGTTACCGGGCTGGTGCGGCAAGGGATGCAGGGGCCCGGCGCGGAGCCGGCTGCGGGGGGACGCCTCGGGGCTGTCCGGAGCTCAGGGGGGCCGGAGGAGCCCCCTGGGGACGGGGAAGGCGGCAGCGGCGGGCGCCGGGGCCGTGCGTCTTCAGCGCGGAGCTGGCCCGGCGGCGGAGAACGGGAACGGGGAAAGGGAACGGCCGGGGAGGGCATGGGAGGGCCGCGGAGGAGAGGGGAGGGAAGGGGGAGATGGGGAGGTGGGAAGGTGGAAAGATGGAGAGGTGGAGAGAGGGTGAAATGGAGAAAAGAGACATGGAGTGATGGAGAGATGGAGAGGTGGAGGGATGGAGAGGTAGAGACATGGAGAGGTGGAGACATGGAGAGGTGAAGAGATGGAAAGGTGGAGAAATGCGGAGATGAAGTGATGGAGAGGTGGAGACATGGAGACAGAGATGTGGAGACATGGAGACATTTACACATGGAGAGATGGAGAGGAGGAGAAATGGGGAGAGGGACTGATGGAGAGGTGGAAATGTGTGAAGACAGAGACAGAGCGATGGTGAAACAGGGAGACAGAGATGGAGAGGTGAAGACATGGAGACATGGGGAGGAGCACACAGACATGGAGAGATGGAGACATGGAGAGGATGGAGGGGAGGAGAGGTGGAGAAATAGGAGGAGAAACTGAGAAGAAGAAAGGTGGAGAGGTGATAAGACAGAGAGCAATGGTGAAATGGGTAGACAGAGATGGAGACATGGAGACATGGAGATGTGGAAACAGATGTTGCAATGTTGAAATGAGAAGACAGATGGAGAGGTGGAAATATGGAGTTATGGAGAGATGGAGATATGGAGAGCTGGAGATGCAGAGACATGGAGAGGTGGAAGGACAGAGGTGGAGTGACAATGAAATGGGGAGACCGAGAGGTGGAGACTTGGACATGTAGAGACATGGAGAGGTGGAGAGATGAAGACAGAGGCATGGAGACATGGAGAAAAGGAGAGGTGGAGAGGTGGAAAGGCAGAGAGAGTGATGTTGAAATTGGAAGACAGAGAGATGTAGAAGTAGAGAGGTGAAGAGATGAAGAAGAGGAGAGAGGGGAAGGGGGAGAGATGCTCCAGGTCCCACTGTGTCACCTGCATTTCATGCTCACTCCTCTCCACCTCCCTCCAAACTCAGGAAAGAGCTCTGCAGACATTCCTCTCTGGTGGGCAATGCAGCAGCACTGTTGTGCGGCATATGGGCCGGTCTGGGAACAAGGATGGCCACAGGATGGGATCCAGCTGGAGCTGTGGGAATGCCAGTCCCTGCTCCCCTGCCTTCCCTCAGGCATGGGCAGGCACCTCCTGTGCCAGGACCTTATGGTGCATGGGGACTGTGGATAAAGCTGTCCATGCCCCCTGCTCCAGGACCCCACCGCTGATTCCAGGACTTCAGTTTGGATCGTGGTGGATACCATGAGTATGTCCCCAGGACCAACAGCCTCCAGGCAGCACCTTCACACCATGGTGACTCTAAATGGGAATGCTTGGGAGAGCTGGAAGAGGGAGTGCTACCCTGGGAAAGGGATGGAATACTGGGTTCGCCTGGGACAGGGTGGGGATGCTGTCCTCTGGTAGGAGAGGGAGCTTGAGGACAGGGAGGACAGAATGGGGATGCTGAGCATTCCAGGGGCAGGATGGAGATGCTGTGCTTCCCAGGAGAAGGACAAGGATGCTGAGAATCCCAGGTGCAGGACAGGGATGCTGTGCTTTCCGGGGGATAGAACAAGGATGCTGATCATCCCAGGGGTAGGGTAGGATAGGGATGCTCAGCATTTCATGGGCAGTGAGTATCTCAGGGGTAGAATGGGGATGTTGTGCTTCATGGGGGAAGGACAAGGATGCTGGGCATCCGAGAGGAAGGATAAGGATGCTGAGCATCCCAGGGGCTCTTTGGGTTTTCAGCAGCTGGCACATGGTGGTGCAGGATGAGGTAGGTGCAGGATGAGGTGGGTGCAGGAGGGGGTGGGTGCAGCAGTAAGGGTTGTGCAGGGCTGCTGGTGCAAGTGGGGATGAGATGTGGGGGTGTGTTGGGATGGAGAGGGAATGGGAGGGATTCACTTTTGCTTCTTAACAAGCGTGAACTTGGTATGAGCATGGCATGAGCGTGTCATG